ACCGGGTTGAGCTCCTTTACCTCTGGAAAGTTCTGGAGAGTTTTGGCCTCAACCCAGGTTTCACTGCTATGATCCAGGTTCTGTACCAAGACATTGAGTGTGTACCAATAATCAATGGGGGTCTGAGTGCACCTTTTTAGGTCCATAGAGGACTAAGGTGGGGTTGTGCTCTCTCGGGAATGTTATATTTCATGTTGTGTAAAATAGGCTCGTCCATTGAAGGATTAATTTTACCACACTGTCCAAAGAGTTTTGCTGTCTCAGCCTTGATGATCTTGTTTAATGATTTAACATCAGAGAGAAACATCTTTAGTAGAAAAAAACTGTTCATGATTCAGGTGCCATCAGTACCTTGGAGTGTTTTTAGGTGATGATGGACTAACTGAACAGGAAAACTGGGTGGTGGAAAAAGTCAAGGGGAGGCTGGAGAAGTGGAGACAGGGGTCTAGCACCAAATCCTGGGCCCTGTACACTCTCAATGTCAGTGGTCCCCTATCCATGCCAGCGCACGAATTGCGTGAGCAAAAAAAAAAAGAAAGAAAAAAGGTATTGATTTAAAATATAAAACCATAAAAAGGGTTTTAAACTATCTATCTATCTATCTATCTATCTATCTATCTATCTATCTATCTATCTATCTATCTATCTATCTATCTATCTATCTATCTATCTATCTATCTATCTATCTATCTATCTATCTATGGCAAAAATGTAAAGCACAGCAGGTGAACGACAACCCATCCAGCACCTTAACAGTTCTGGCTTCACCTTAAGCTTCAATCCTGGATCTCAGGAACGGTGCTGGATCAAACATGTCCGCTATACAACCAAAAGCTAAGAATTACAGGTCCTTCAAAGTTTTCTCACTTCAAGACATTATACAATTATAAAGAGTAACAAGTTACCACATTAAGCAGTGAAGTTGTGGTCAGAACTTCGATTGGTGCATGTCTTTGCACAATTTATAGTGGATATACACAAATTTGCATACTTTTCTAGTGGGTATAGGGCATATACCTGCGTATCAAGTGGACTACACCACTGATTTTATAGGAGAACACAAAAGGGCAAGCTCACTTACAACATGTGAAAGTTGAAGATTTTGTTATAGAAAGTGTTGTTATAGTTTTTTCTGCAGAGTCCAGAGCAAAAGCAAATATGTTTTAAACTGATCCATGAGAGGAATCAAAATATTAGCTCAGTAGTTAAACTGGGACCAAATGTCTTTCATGGGGTTAATGGGTCTCAGTACATGCTGAGGCCAAGACATTAAACCTCAAACACCAGCAAAGTGAAGAACCTTCTCTCAGTGCTGCACAGGAACCCATTCAGGTTGGAGTTTGTGTTCTAAGCATCAGTTTTTTTTTTTTTTTGTTCAACACGTAATTTTTACTGCACTACATTTGAAATATCATCGAAGTATCAAACTCTTGACTCCACCTCGTTCCTGTGAAAGCTTTTGCAACTTGGGATGGGTATCAATAACCAGCTCCTGTTAAAAATCAATTAGAAATAGTTCAATCCATCAACATCATTGGTCTTTGTCCTTAACAATTCCCTTGTCGATTCTTTACATCCCACCGGAGCGGCCGGACCTTACGTTGAGGTCACGTGATGTGCCACATGTCAATCACAGGCGTCAGTCAGCAGTAGATTTTCCAGGACAATGGTGGACTGATCAAAATAATCAAAAGCTTGGCTTCACTTTACCAAAAAGGATGCTAACAACACAAAGTTCAGTTTGTATGGCACAGTAATATCATGCAAGTGTGGCAACACCACCAACATGTTAAAACATTTGTTGAAGCATGGCATTTTATCAGAGTGTCATGTGTTTGACAAACTTTGGACAAGTACAGCCACTCCAATTTGGCTGCAGAGCAAAGCCCATGAGGGTAAGCTTTGATTGATAATATATGCACAGTCCTTTCAACGTAAAGTTTTTCAATTCACATGAAACAAATATTCTTTCATTGGATAGATTTTAGATGATATTAGTGGTGGACCAAGTTCCTCTGCTGCCTGCAGTGTTGCATCCCCAGCTCCATGGCCCAGCCCCTCTCTCCCTCTGTGACAGTGTACAGAGATTTTTTATCTATTTGTGTCCATATTCAGATTCAGTGACCTGTTTCATTGATAAGGGAATGGCTCAAGAGTTGTATCAATAACAGAATCGGTAATGGCATTGTATCAAATCAATGCCTATTCCTACCTGGAACTCAGATGACGACTTTTCTACTACTTTTTAACCTGATCCCAGAGACTATATTCCCGCGATGGCCATCCTCTTGTGACATCATGTATAGGGTGGGAAACTTATCAGGTTTTATTACTGTGTTGTATAACTTACAATAATCTGTCATCTCACAGCTCACTGATTGATGAGCAGCCTCACAGTCTGTGGACAGAGAGAATCAGGACAGAGATTAATAATTGTTCAAGTTAAAGAAATCTGCACAACAAACATGATTTCAGCTTTCAGCCACTTCCTAATAAACCAAAGCCACAGATATGGGGCTCTATTTTCGTGTACGCCAGTGAGGCGACGGAGGGTGGCGGACCCCGCGCAGTTGTATTTTCGTCTGGCGGAGCCCGGCGTACAGCCAGTTTGGTATTTTCGTGGACCGAGGTGCACGGAGTCGAACCGAGATCCGCCAAGCTGGGCGTGGTGGCGTGGCAGGGGGAGGTGTCGACAGAATCAGCTGGCGCAGTGACATTTTCGTGCTCGCCAGTGGCGTGTAAAGTGCGCTGAAAGCTCGCTGATTCAAACCTGGTCAGCTTTCAGCGCAGGCAGAGCGCAGCTGGTCTAGAGGTATTTTGGTAGACCGGCGGAGTATTGGCATACGTCACCGAATCCTCACCGGCAGGTTTCCACAGTGTCAGGCACATTTCAGTGCAATAAATAATCATCAACAACTAATAATCTGAGTCAGCACATACATTTAGATCTATATCGATATATTCTGATCTATATCTGATCTGATGAGCGAGTTTGGCATGCGTTTGGACACACAACATGACCGAATCAACACAGCTGAAACCACATTAAATTAAATTAAATATCTAGTAAATAGACACACATGATGAAGTGAACAAGATATTTAATTTGTCTCCCTCCTTTTCTTTCTTCCTCTTCCTCTTATTTCTCGCACAGCTCGACCTGGACATGTCTCTGTGTCCTCTCTCCGTCCTGCTGCAGCTGCTGCTGTGGCGGCTGAACAGATGATTTGTTTCAGTGATCAGATGAGTTATTTACTTTAAGCCTACATACGAATATTATAATATTCAGTTTTGTGAGTCAAATTTATTTTATATGCCAACATCTATGAAAGAAAGAGCCAGGCCACGGAGCGCGATGCGTCAATACGCACAGATGGTTCCGATTTTAATGCCATTTTTGGAGTTTATGTTGTGATCTATGCGCTCAACCCACCTTTGTCAAGTGAGGTTTTAAATATAAGGGGGCCTGCCATCAAAATGAGGTGAGGTTTGAATATATGCAACTTTATGTGAGTGTCTTTATTTGTGGAAAAGGGTGTTTGTCTTACCAGTGGGTCCAACATTACACACACCAAATCCATCTGTGCTTATATGAGAGAGTGTGGAGGACACCCAATGCAGCGCTTACAGTGACACTTGTTGAGAAGCTGCCTTCTGTCGCCATCGTGTGGCATTACTGTCTTCAGACATCTCTTGATCTCTTTGACTACTTCACGAAAATAGTAATACACCTCGCCGGTGGTGGATTTAAAGGCAAGGAGAGGAGCTTATGTGATTGGTGAAAACAGGTCTCGGCTGTGTTAAACTCACTCCACGCCCTCTCTCCTCCCTCGCTATGACTTACGCTGCTGGGAGGAGCTGAGTTAGGGAGGGGGGATACTTACACCGTGCTGCGCCGCTTACCAAAATACCAAATTGTGCTTGGGAACGCCTTGTCGGCGCGGCGGACCTGACTTACGCCGCGCCTGTGGCACATCTCTGGCGAGGCACGAAAATAGAGCCCATGGTGGTTAAGGACAAACATCTCCACAAGCATAATAGACAAAACCTTTTTTCCTCAATCTTGTCAATATGATTTATCATTTAAACAGGGATCATCATGCACAGCCTGTAAAGTATGACAAGAGGGATGACGATTCTTTATCTGAGCACCTATGAACACATCTGAAGCCCATGTTTGAGGGTTTTTAAATGAAGAAAGATTCATATTTTTTAAAAGTTCACCTTCTGCTTACAAACTTAGTCACAGCCTGCAAAAACTCAACCCGAAAAAGCATGGGGAACGATCGAGTTAAACATGTGATTCCAGAGGAACTTGCTGACAGATGAACCAAGCTGACTGAGCAGCTGGTTTTATTCTCAGGTTGGTTGTTCCTGTTGTTATTTTGAAACAGCAAATCTGCCATGAGTTTTAAAGACTGTAAAAAATATTTTCCAAACCAATATTACCTTGTGAAAACTACGCGTAACCGTGGTTTGAATACCTAAGTACTTTTGTATTGGAGTAATATTTGAGCTGGCGGAACTATGATCTGACTGTAGTTATGAATCTCTGTGCTTACTCCATTGCTGATTTTTTTCTTTACATAAGGAGAGTCAGCCTGTAAAATTATTTGGGTTGAACTGAATCAGCCTGACACTGAGACAGTGAGTGACAGAAAACGTTGATTACTGTTTTTCAGCAGAAACATCTCACATTTGAAATTGGAAACTTCAGCATAATAAAACAATCATACTTTAAATTACAACACACAACAACATTAACCATAGTCACAGTCTGACTTTACCTCATTAGCAAGAAATGGCCAATCAGCAATGACCAAAAGTAGCCCCAAGGTCACACAATAAAATGTCTGATGCCTTGATAATGGCGTAATATAAATCCCTCTCATTGTTATGGAGACACTTCCTGTAAATCAGAGGTACAGACTGGCAAATAGATCAGTGTGGCTGACCACAGAGCAACAGTTCAGCACTAAAAGATTAAACTCACACTCTGCTCATCCCTGGTTTTGTGTTTATTTCAGTTACTGATACAAACTGTACAAGAGAAGAAAGTGAGCAGTAAAATCTGAGCTGAGATGAATGCAGAGGTCAGTGGTCAGAGAAAAAGAGAGGGCTCTATTTTCATGCTTCGCTGGAGACGTGCCCGACAAGGCGTTCCCAAGCACAATTTGGTATTTTGGTGAGCGACGCAGCCCGGCATAAGTATCCCCCCTCCCTAATTCAGCTCCTCCCAGTGGCGTAAGTCGTAGCGAGGGAGGAGAGAGGGCGTGGAGTGGATTTAACACAGCCGATATCACATCCTCTCCTCGCCTTTAAATCTGCCACTGGCGAGGCGTATTCCAATTTTTGTGCAGAAGTCAAAGAGATCAAGAGATGTCTGAAGACAGTAATGCCACACGATGGCGACAGAAGGCAGCCCCTCAACAAGTGTCGCTGTAAAGGCTGTATTGGGCGTCCTCCACTCTCTCTCATGTAAGCACAGATGGATTTGGTGTGTCTAATGTTGGACCCACTGGTAAGACAAACACCCTTTTACACAAATAAAGACACTAACATAAAGTTGCATATATTCAAACCTCACGTGACAAAGGTGGGTTGTGCACACAGATCACAACATAAACACCAAAAATGGCATTAAAATGGGAACCATCTGAGATTTGAGATTTGATTTATTTGGTCCCCTTGGGGACATTCATCTGGGGTCTGCTTTTACATCAATGACAGGTGGTGTAATAACATCAAAGTGCACCGTAAAGTGTGCACACCCAACCTGGAGTTGCTGACCCTGTCCCTTCGTGCTTTTTATCTCCCCCGGGAATTTCCCATGGTTGTGGTCAGCTGTGTCTATGTAGCCCCCAGTGCCAACATCAACACGGCAGCGGAGCTAATAGCCGAGGATGCCAATGCTATGCTGGTTAGGTACCCCGGCGCTCCGCTGCTCATTCTGGGGGACTTTAACGGATGCAGACTGGACAGTGTGTTACCATCATTCCAACAGTATGTGGATATTCCAACAAGAAGGGGAAACATATTGGATTTATGTTACGGGAACATCGCCGATGCCTTCCGTGCCCGTTCATATCAGCCGCTTGGAGCTGCTGACCACAACGTCATCTGTTTACTTCCGCTCTACAAACAGGAACTAAAGCACCACAAACCACAGTGCAGCAGTGCCCCCCAGTGGATGGAGGACACCATCACACAACTCCAAGGCTCCTTAGCCTGCACTGACTGGGACATTTTTGATGACAGTCTAGATGACAAGGTCTCTATCATTACAGACTACATCAAATTCTGCATAAGCTCCACAATTCCAACCAAAACAATTAAGATCCATCCCAACTCCAAACCATGGATTACCCCGCAGTTAAAACAGAGCCTGAGGGAAAAACATAAATCCTTCAGGCACAAGGACTGGACCAGCCTCAAGGCAACAAATAGGACTCTGAAGAATGAGGTGTTAAAAGCCAAACTGAACTATAAAAACAAACTGGAAATAGAATTCAGCACCATGAACACCAAGCAAGCCTTCCAGAAGGTGAAAACCCTGACTGGGTGTAAACCCAAATCCACATGCACAGTCAGTAAGCCAGAAACATTCACCAAGGATTTAAACACATTCTACACCCGTTTCGACAGGCATGATTTCTCATCGGAATGTCAGGATCTACTGAGAGCCCTCCCACCACCAGACCCTGAGGAACCAGCCCCCTTCACTGAGGAGGAGGTACGGCACCAGCTGAGCCGATGTAAGGCAGGCAAAGCCCCAGGGCCCGATGGCATTCCAGCCAGGGTGATCAAGAACTGTGCCATGGAACTCGCCCCTATCCTTCACTCACTCTTCTGCCAATCATACCGGACTGCCACAATCCCCACACTATGGAAAACTGCAACCATAATTCCAGTACTGAAAAAACCCAGACCTACAGAACTCAACCACTACCGCCCCATAGCCCTCACATCCATAATAATGAAGTGCCTGGAGAAACTACTGCTGAACATCATCCTTCCACTTGTCACCCCACATCTGGACCCCCTCCAATTGGCCTACAGGGCAAGAAGGGGCACAGAGGACGCTGTGGCCAGCCTGCTGCACCTCCTCCTCCAGCATCTGGACTCCCCAGGCAACTTCGCCAGGATCCTCTTCGTGGACTTCAGTTCCGCCTTCAACTCCATACAGAAGCACCTACTGATCCGGAAACTACACCATCTCATCACCATATATTGTTCACTTCATCATGTGTGTCTATTTACTAGATATTTAATTTAATGTGGTTTCAGCTGTGTTGATTCGGTCAGATCGTGTGTCCAAACGCGTGCCAAACGTGCTCATCAGATCAGATATAGATCAGAATATATCTATTTAGATCTAAATGTATGTGCCGACTCAGATTATTATTAGTTGTTGATTATTTATTGCACTGAAATGTGCCTGACACTGTGGAAACCTGCCGGTGAGGCATCGGTGACGTATGCCGATACGCCGCCGGTCTACCAAAATACTACTAGACCAGCTGCGCTCCGCCTGCGCTGAAAGCTGACCAGGTTTGAATCGGCGAGCTTTCAGCGCATTTTATACGCCACCAGCGAGCACGAAAATGTCACTGCGCCAGCTGATTCTGTCGACACCTCCCTCTGCCACGCCACCTTGCCCAGCTTGGCGGACCTCGTGCGCCTCAGTCTACGAAAATACCAAACTGGCTGTACGCCGGGCTCCGCCAGACGAAAATTTCACTGTGCGGGGTCCGCTACCCTCCGCTGCCTCACCAGCGGACACGAAAATAGAGCCAAGAGAGAGAGAGAGAATGAGGGGAGCAGAGATGCAGAAAGCACTCAGAAACATTTCATACACATGGTTCTACTTAGCAGACTCCCATTAAGGACAACATGGTCTGGAGCAAACTTTACATTTCACAGTTTGAGGCATTTTAAATACACTCATGCCTGCACTGAAAGGTCACTTTCGGGCTTTCAAACATACATAATACACACTGTGCAACTAAAACAAACAGAGCTTAACAATGTGGTATCAGACTTATAAAAACCACAGATGTGTAGTGGTTACAATGTGACACAGAGGCAGGGGAACAAAGTCAAAGAAGAACAAGACTGTCCACACAGTTTCAAAGCGTCAGGAATGTGTGTTTGGAGTCCTGACTGGAGATCAACGCTTTATAATAACAGACCCTATCTATCTGTGACATCCCACAACAGTAAAAACTTGTATGATGTAATACCAGTATGATCATACAGACCATTTAAAAGTGATGACCTGCCTCAGGTAACACAGACTCACATCTTGAGCATCACAAGGAGATGGTCTATTATAATACCAACCCATTTAATTCATGAGCAACAAACAGGCTAATATGTTGGGTATACTGCTGTTTTACATCCTCACCAAAGTTAACATCAAAGATATTCAAATTTAAAATAACCTCAGGATTTTGTTCATATAAGACCAAAGAAAAATGGAGCAAGAGATCGACAGGTGGATTGGTGCGGCATCAGCAGTGAAGAAGATGCTGCACAGATCTGCTGTGGTAAAGCGGGACTGAGCTGAAAGGCAAGTTCTTGACACACTGGTTGATCTATGTTTTCACCCTCACCTATGGTCATAAGCTGCGGATACTGACCGAAACAACAAGATTGCGGTCATTACCCACAGGGTACAAGCGGCTGAAATTAGTTCTCTTCGCAGGGTAGCTGGGCTCTCCCTTAGAGATAGGGTGAAGGGCTTGGTCATCCAGGAGGGGCTCAGAGTGTAGTTGCTGCTGTTGAGAGGAATCAGATGAAGTGATGACACTTGATGCTTGACTTTTACTTATAATCTAGTACATCTACAGTATATTCTTGTATTGTTGTACTTATGCATAGGTACTGAAGTGAAAGTTCTGGTTTCCTCTTCCAGCACTGTTCCAGGCTCATGGATAACTCCACATGAGGTAAAAGGAGGGTAGGGGGAGGGAGGGACCCGGTGCCTTTTTGTCTGGGTTTCTAGTTCACTGTTAAAAAAATCCTCCTTTGCTTTTCCATGCCTGAATCCAGAGGATCAGTTAATGGAAAAAAGAGCCTAAGCACTTTCACACTCTGGTTCAGAGAAAGTCAAAAAAAGGAGGGAGACTGTGAGAGGGTCTGTGTGACTTATCTTAGTAACCCAATCACCTTCAGATCAGAGGAGTCCAAAAGATCAGCTCTCAGTCAGGAGATTTGGTCAGGATCAGGAGAGTTGGAGTTTAGGAGGCTGTTTAGCTAACACCTAACTCCACCCTCTAGTGTGTTTACGTTCCTGTGTGCGTGCGTGCTTGCGTGTGTGTGTCACTAACAGCCTGCTAAGTTGATGTTGGCACCAGATGAAAGCTTTCACATACTTGGCTGTGGGGGTTGGTGGAGGGTCTAATCTCTGCTTTAGTATCAGCTCTGTGGAGCTGTTGTCCTTATAAAGAGTCAGATAAACACAGAGGCAGGACAGGACAGAGTTCAGTCTGACTATAACGATGCAGTGATTCATGTTTTTTTACTCACTTTTCTATCTGAAATAACAGAATAAACTTTTAACTTGAGACGATCTCTCCTCTGACCTTCGGAGCTTCCAACAAACTAGCACTTTAACACTATTATGGTGGGGAGGGGAGAGCGGGGGGAGGAGCAGGAGGAAGATGAGGGGCAGAGCGAAATGAAGCTGTAGTGATCGTGAGGATGCATGAGTGTGCCAACCAAGCAGCAACCTCTGGTGCTGAGAAATGACGTAGTTGTGGGAGTGCTAAAAAACTGCAGTTCCCTGAGTGTCCACTGGCAGCAGTAGCCAGAAACTACATACACGCTCAGCCCAAAAAAGCCCATTTTTGGAGCCAAAATAAACATGTTTACAGCCTGTTTCGAAAGATAGTTTTGGTGTGGGTAGTTCAGGGCTGTAATGGTACCCACTGAATGGGGAGTGAGTTTTTTGCAAGGGGACTACAGGCCTGTAAGTTGATTGTAAATTAGATTGAGTCAGCGACTGCAACCAAAAGGCTTCAAAACTCTGCTTCACTTTATTACACAGTCAATGGCGCTGGTAAGCTAATGAATGTTCATATCCTTATAAGATATACGCCCAAGTCCTTTTGCAGTGAAAGAGAAGGCTCATAAAGCCTGAGGGAGGTGTTGGACCTGTAGCCTATGAAAACATGAAGTCTAGCTAAAGAGCTCAGGTCCTGAGGTTTTGAAAAACACAACATAAAAACACTTTCCTACAAATGACAGTCTGGAATTTAATTTAGTTAGTATAATCACCAACCATAATGAAGTCAAAGCTCTCCATGCAGTGAATGGTCCCTTTTCAACTTTTACAAAAGATTTTTATATCAGTTTCACAGACATCTTTGGGAAACAAGTACAATAAAATATACGTCTTTTTCAAAGAATTTGTGATTTTCAAGAGGTCTTATATTCTGTGATGTCAATTAATTAGTAATTGTGTTAAACAACTATGATATCAATGTCAGTAAGAATAATCATGATCATGAACTTTGTGGTCATTGAGCAGCTGTAAGGTGGTGAAAATGATCAGTCTGTCATTTTAAAACACAGAAGAATACTGTGCTCTAAATACATTAGAAACAGACAGGACTCTGGAGTGGAAATCACAGCATGGTCTAAAATCATTCCCAAAAAATGATTGTTCTTGAACTCGGTGCATCACTGTATCCACAAATGCAGGTCCAAACTTAACCATGCAAAGAGGAAACCATACATATACTGAGGACTGGGGACTTCTCCAGAACTGAGCCCATTTAAGCTGGACTGAGCAGCTTCTTGAGAGAGCAGTTGTTGTTCACAGTGATCTTTCAGCTGTGTATAAACTGTAAAGTGTCATTATTCCAGCTGTAATGTGATGAAGTAAATCTCAGAATACAGTTTTTTTTGTTTTCCATTCGACAATGTCTCAGTGTTGTTTTCAAAAACCTCCACCTCAGGGCTGTTTTGGATGACCTTTGTTTCCAGTGACCTGAAACTCCAGTGATGTGAGGAAGTGGGGCCTAACACAGAGAACAAACTGTTCACTAAAAAATCATCATACATGTGGACAGGGGGCAGAGTCAGTGCTCTGTAGTGCACTGTAGTGCTCTGAGTGTGAAGTACACAGGATGCAAACACATGAGGAAAAAGGAAAAACAACATTCCCTCTGTCTCCTGTCTCATTAAAGGATAAAAACACATACAAAGTCATATTTACAATCATGACATAAATGTAATACACACTTTAACTCCACAAACTGAGTACAAAACAAGACAGAATATAAATAGGCATAACTTTTACAAAGGCACAGTAACTAGTGGTGTGTGTGCGTGTGTGTGTGTGTTTGTGTGTGTGTGTGTGTGTGTGTGTGTGTGTGTGTGTGTGTGTTTGTTTATTTGTGTGTGTTTGTTTGCTTCATAGCTGCTGCTCCTCAAAGAGGATCTGAGCGTACACTGTGCCGCTACATGACGCCTTTGTTTCTGGGATTGGCTTCACCAGATCCAGCTCTGCATAGGTCAGATTCTCCTCCACAATCTTCGGCTGCAGGAGTAAGAACAGGGAAAGAGAGAGGAGAACAGAGATGGAGAAGAGATAGATGTGGAGGTGAAAGAGAAGTGAAACTGGATTACAGATTTCTGCCACGCTCTCTTATTATTCACAAACTTACATTTTCACTGAGTGAAAACTTTATCACTGAAATTCATTAGTGTCTGCAGAGAGAAAATCTGGTTTATGTGGAACTTTTTATCATATTTTTGCTGCTTTTACTCACGATATTTCCTCACAACCAAAACGAGGGGCTGAATGCATGAGTGCCAATAGACAGGTTCTCTCTCTCTGTGATATTTGCTTAATTGATTACCAATCAGATTTCAGAGGCACAGAAGCATGCTGACTTTTTTCAAAAGCTTGTGAACAGGTTTGCAGAGTACTCACCAGCACTATTTTTCTTGGTTGTGGTTTTAAAAGTTTGGGTTTGCGTGTTTTGTCTTCGATGGGAGCTGCAGGAACAGGGAAAGAAAATGTTCATGATCACAGATATTTTTTTTTCTTACCTTTTATTTTTATATTTTTGTCTAATATTGTTTTCTTTTTAAAAGAGTGGTGGTTTATTGTCTTTTGAACTTCTTTTACAGTGGTTTATGGTTTTTGGTATTAATATAAGTAGTTCATCTATCTTCTCTATCCCTTTATCAGTCTATTTAGCCATGACATAGCCACATATTAAGCCACATACATGCTTGCTGACATAATTTTAAAATCTATGGGAGATCGAGCATATTTCTGTCGTGGCTCCCACTTTGTGGAATGCTTTACCCCTGACAGTGCGCACTGCTAACAGCCTTTTCACTTTTAAAACACTTCTGAAGATGCACTTTAGCTTTTGGGGAAGTATAGCTACTTTTATTGGGTAGTTTATCTATATCTGTTTATCTTTATGATTTTTTATATGTTTTATGGTTTTATTGTTTTTATACTTTTTAATTTTAATTTCAATTTTTGATTGTCTCTGGCTATTTCACTGTGAAGCACTTTGGTAGGCCACTGGCTGTTTTTAAATGTGCTATATAAATAAAGCTCACATTGACATCGACATTGAAATATCACTAAAATAAAACAGCCCCACTGCAGCATAATGATCATGTGCTGCCCTAGCATTAAAGGTTTCTATGACAAAGTTTTTTTGCTACTTAAAATCCAAGTTTGTTTATCCAAGAGAAAAGCCCGAGAAGAGAATCCTGCTGATGTACTTCAGTTATTCCAGTGAATGAAATGAACAGTGAGGCTCTTTTCACTTTTAAGACTTTGAACAATCACAAAAACAACACAGCAAAGCTGCAGGTGTCACTCAGTGTTAACCTTTGGCAGGTATCTCTGGTGGTATCTCCTCCTGGTAGTCTCTGCTGCGTTTCTTCCTGTACCTTCTCTCCTTCTTGGGGAGAGCAGGAGACACGTTGACTAAACTGGTGACAGTCTCTCCTGAGCTGGATTCAAACAGAATCACCACAAAATTAGCACCGTTCAAACCCATTTAATGTTTATTTGAGACTGGGTCCCACTGAGAGCTTACCTGTTGTGGGGACTTTTCACCAAGTGGTAATTATCTGCAGAAAGATAAAGTATTAAGGAACATGTTATTACAATCTAAGCTGAGCCACTGGACCAAGAGAAGTTTGTTTAATTTTTAGAACAACAGCAGGAGAGGTGCAGAGGAGGGAAGATCTAATAAACAAGATGACAGATACTGCAAACAAAAGGTGAAGATGAATAAAGGTCAAAGGTCAGAGGAAAGCTGTCTGGATGTTGCTGCTAACCTTTTAACCTCTGCTTCCTCTGTATGAACTGGCAGGTAACTGTCACAGTGAACATGCACATACACAGCAGACCCACTGAGCAGATCAGCACTGCACACAGGTACACGTCTGAAACACAGACACAAACACTGATCAAACAGAGTATCAGCTGCCTGCCTGAGACTTCACTTTGCAGAAATATTTACAGGAAAAAAGACTGTTGAGGCCTCTGAGCTGTATCCTCTGAGTTAGGCTATTTCTGCCCGCCCATGACCACACACTGGAAATCCACCACAAAAGTCCACACTCACACTCCAGTCCTCTAAAAATAGGCTGACTTACCTTCAAACAAGCTCCACAGGCTCTCTTTGGCCTTGGTGGATGGCAGGACATGCACTACATGGGGGAAGAGAGAAAACAAAGACAGAAAGAGGGAAGAGAAGTTTGTAAAGTTGGGAGTCATCACTGTGGTTTTCTTGCAGCCTGATTACATGCTTGCTGAAGTTTAAATAAAGCTAATTGCAGGAAGACAACTAGCTGAGGTTAGCCTCCTCCCTGCATGATCCTGTCTCCGAACCCCTGTTCAGAGGGCTCAGCCTCAACTTTTACAGGACTGCAAACCATTTACAGATGATTAACTCAGAGGTTAAAGGTCCTTACACACCAGGCGAGAATTCGCCAAGCGAATTATTCGCCTTTTTTTAAAACAGCATAAAGTCAATGCATGCTTCCACACCGGCGGCGAATCTTGTGTCGAATTTTTCGAATATCTGGACCTGCTAGACCTCTGGCCAATCAAAAGTCATGTTGTTGATGACATCACAGACCCATACGGCTGGAGGAGAGGGAGAAGTTTGAGATTATGAAAACGCAGAGCAAGACAGCTGAGGTGCATCCAAAACTCTTTCGAATTACTAATGTAGCGTAGGACCACAATTTAACTAAGAACTGTAAGATACAGTAGGGCGCTAGCCACCACTCCCTGGCGTCCCTTACTATGGACAAAGATGCTGTGGACTCTTACTAAATAACAGGGGAGGGACAAGGATATAAAGGGAACAACATAAACATTTATTACACCACAAACAAAATTATGCACAATTGACTCACTAAAACTTACACTAAAATATGTCCTGTCTAACTCTACTAAGTCCTGCTTAATCCTAAACCTAATGGTACCAATGTTGCCCGGGGTTGGAGCTCAGAGGAGGACGTGAGGATTCTGATTCAGCCAGGATGGAGGTCTGTAGCGAGGTCCCGATGTTGAGGGATTATGTGATCAGGTGTCCACGGGAGATGAATGGGAGCTGTTCTCGGGTGAAGAGGGGAGGGGGTGAGGATGTGGTCCAGAGGAGGAGGGGGTGAACTAAAGTCCTTAAACTGGGGCCAGTTAACGTTTGCTGGGATACGAAGGACAATGACGCCGCTAGCGAGACCTAGCTAGCCACTGTCGGGAAACGAGAGCTAACATTAATCGGCGAACTAACTTCAGTTCAAAGTCCGTTTGTTCCTCTTTTAGGTATAATCTTCACAGGATTAAAGACAACTTGTTGTGCGGGTTATTAATCACACAAAACTTCACAGAAGGAATGAATGAATCTGTCGGACACATGAAGCTGCACCGATCGTCTCCTCTTCTCAAACTTTCTCCTCTCACTCATCAGGCAGACACACACACTCGCACCAAATCACACGCGCACTGATACAAACATATCGGCCTAATTACAGCAACACTGAAAGAACGTATATCTCCGCTGTATGAATGACATCGGGCACAACAACAACAATAACAACTGTACATCGCTGCAGTAACAATAATAAACAAGATATCAAATAACAAACCAGAAGTAAAGAAGAAAGGGGGCTTAACTGGGCAGGGAGCAGTGGGAAGGCTATGTTACTGCTCAGAGGGGTTCTCAAAGTAAAGAAATAAACTAATCTTCTAGCCACTTCTAAGTCTTCAATACAACTAATGAAGTAGTTTTCTCACAAGATGACACTCTCTTGTCTTCCTTAGGAGACAGATGTCATGCACACTTCACAGGGTGACCGCCTCATCATGCCTGATTCTCCCTCTTAGCTGTTTGACATACCGATGATCTGCAGCTAAAGGGCCAACAGAATGACCAGACAACTTGAAGGATCACTGCTCATCCCTCGCCTCTCCTGGCTGCTGCGGCGTCTCTCACAGCTTTTCCTCCTCTTTCTCCCTCGCTCATAATGCTAGACATGTCAATCAGCAGCCGTTCACACGACACACACCACCACTGGCACCAAGAGCAACGATGGGAGAGAGGCTGGTAATTGCGGTACAGGACCACCCCGCATCTCCTGTCCTCCGTGCCGCAAAGCGACTTTATCAATTCGCTTTGCAAAAAAAATACGCATATTCGCTTCGAGCCCGGTGTGTATAGGCGAAAGCGATTTTTCGGACCGGCGAATATTCGCAATTTTCGTCTCGCTTTTTCGCTTCGCTCCGCAAATTCGCCGGTGTGTAAGGACCTTAATGCAGCACTTAGGTTAGACGGACAGTACATCACCATGAACATCCATGAGCTGGTCAGTCACATTTTTTAGGTAATAAAAAAAGCAACCTTAGCCCATCCTGATAGCTCTCTAACTGTGACTGTGAGGGAACCTTCAGAAAAGAGATGAACACAAAGACATTTAGTAGTGCTTTTCCTCTTTGCCCTGAATGATAGAGAGATGGGGCTCTATTTTCGTGTCCGCCGGGGACGCGGCAGAGGGTGGTGGACCCCGCACAGTGGTATTTTCGTCTGGCGGAGCCCGGCGTACAGCCAGTTTGGTATTTTCGTGGACTGAGGCGCACTGAGGTCCACCAAGCTGGGTGTGATGGCGTGGCAGGGGGAGGTGTCAACAGAATCAGCTGGCACAGCGACATTTTTGTGCTCGCCGCTGGTGTGTAAAGTGCGCTGAAAGCTCACCGTTTAAAACCTGGTCAACTTTCAGCGCAGGCGGAGCGCAGCTGGTCTAATGGTATTTTGGTAGACCGGCGGCGTATCAGCATACGTCACTGATGCCTCACCGGCAGGTTTTCACAGTGTCAGGCACATTTCAGTGCAATAAATAATTAAAAACAACTAATAATCTGAGTCAGCACATACATTTAGATCTATATAGATATATTCTGATCTATATCTTATCTGATGAGCGCATTTTGCACGCGTTTGGACACTCAACCTGACCGAATTAACACAGCTGAAACAATATTAAATTAAATTAAATATCTAGTAAATACACACATGATGACGTGAACAACATGTGTAATTCGTCTTCCTCCTTTTCTTTCTTCCTCTTCCCCTTATTTCTTGCGCAGCTCGACCTGGACATGTCTCCATGTCCTCTCCCCGTCCTGCTAGCGGCTAAACAGATGATTTATTTTAGTGATCAGATGAGTTATTTACTTTAAGCCTACATACAAATATTATAATATTCAGTTTTGTGGGCCAATTTTATTTTATTTGCCAACATCTATGAAAGAAAGAGCTAGGCCACGGAGCACGATTCGTCATTTACGCACAGATGGTTCCGATTTTAATGCCATTATTGGAGTTTATGTTGTGATCTGTGCGCACAACCCACCTTTGTCAAGTGAAGTTTTAAATATAAGGGGGCCTGCCATCAAAATTTCATACCCATTTTCATCATTTTTTCATAATCCTTGATGTCCTCTGATCATGTTTGCAACATAATTTTAGCTGAAAAGTTATTTGATGGTTTGTTTCAAACCATTTTAGTATGCCTAAAAAACCTTGCAGGAAAACCAACTGATTTTGGCTCATTAACATTTATGGTAATGAGCTTTGCTCTGATTGGATCGCTGCTGTGAAGCCTGCTGTGCTCTGATTGGCTCAGCTGTGGAGGTTCGGATTTCGGTTTATCCATTTTGCTAATGTGTGCTAAAATAAGGCGCCCAGATGTCTGTAATGATTTCCGGGGATATTCAGTGCGGCGGTGGCGGCGATGGTGCAGGGGCTGCATGATCACAGACAACATCTCGGTACTATTTAGTAGCAGCGCATGCCCCTTGTAATAACCCCCATAAGAACTCTTGTTCAGGACTGCTTACTTGTGCTTCCTACCCATTTGGCTACTGTAATAACCGTTGTTCGAGCCCACACGCAACATTTTTGCTCTCATTCACGAAACGCTTAAACCGGGGACATTTTCGGGGACGGCTTTTGCCGGGGACAGGTCATCCAATTCGGGGACTGTCCCCGGAAATCGGGGACGTCTGGTCACCTTATGCTAAAGGCTAAAAATGTCAGGTATTAAACCATATATTTTAGACCCCGAGTCCGAAGAGGAGGTGGAAGTTGAAGAAGAAGCCGGAGATCTCCAGCGGTGTTTTCATTCATTCTGCCCGGCTTTAAGTTCATTTTCCCGGCAGTGAACCCAGGGAAACACCGGTCGTTTGGAAAAGACCCATAGCGGATACAGTGGTAGCTGAGTCTCGCTCTGGCTGGAGAGTGATGTTGACTGTGAATGAGTACGAGAACGAGAGAGTTATGAATAATAATGAGCAAGGTCGGCGTGACGTCAGAAGGACCTGTTTTTTCAATTGGCCTGGTTTACCCTTTTCTTTTTTTTAAACCTTTACAGAATGCAAACGATGTAACGGTTTGTTTTCACATTTACAACATAAGACGAACATAATGTGGACCTTATCTGACACAAAAACACACAAAATTACATTTTTGATGGCAGGTCCCCTTTAAATATATGCAACTTTATGTGATTGTCTTTATTTGTGGAAAAGGGTGTTTGTCTTACCAGTGGGTCCAACATTACACACAGAAAATACATCTGTGCCTATATGAGACAGTGTGATGGACACCCTCTGCAGCGTTTACAGCAACACTTGTTGAGGGGCTGCCTTCTGTCGCCATCGTGTGGCATTGCTGTCTTTAGCCATCTCTTGATCTCTTTGACTACTAAACAAAAATAGTAAAACGCCTCGCCGGTGGCAGATTTAAAGGCGAGGAGAGGAGTTGATGTTATTGGTCAATACAGGACTTACGCCGGGCTGCCCGCTCACCAAAATACCAAATTGTGCTTGGGAACACCTTGTCGGCGCAGCGGACCTGACTTACGCCGCGCCTGCGTCACATCGCTGGCGAGGCATGAAAATAGAGCCTACGGTCACAAATAAAGAGGAACAGATAACATAGTGACTCCATCTAGGGCTGCTGCAATAAACCTATATTGACAATAACTGACTTTTTTAAGAAAATGAAACATTGGTATCATACTGAAAATAAGAAAACAGTAATACTAAGAGTTCCGAGTAGGAATCCTTTATGCTGGTTGCCACATGTTATAAAATGGAGGACTAAGAAGAAGGAGAAGCAGCTACTAGAGAGCTAGCTGTAGCAGCTACAGATGTGCGCAGGATACTAAAGCTCCAAAGTCTGTTTTTCCAAAGCATAGCTTCAGTCTGTAGCATAGGAGCTTGTATGGAAAATGAAATAACATGTGACATGGTGATTTTTAAAGTTTCAAACACCCAGTTATAAAGTTTGTATTTGAACCATGTGACTGATTCAACTTAGACAAAAATTTATCTACCAACTCCTAAATGTGATCAAAATTAAATCACATTGAATCAAACTTTATTTATAAAGTGCTTTTCATACAAAATGGTGTAACACAAAGGGCTATATTTTTGTGTCCGCTGATGGCGCGGCGGACAGTGGCGCATCCCGCACAGTGGTATTTTCGTCTGGCAAAGCCCGGCATACAGCCAGTTTGGTATTTTCATAGACTGAGGTGCGCTGAAATGCGCCAAGCTGGGCATGGTGGTGCAGTAGGGGGAGGTGTCGACAGAATCAGCTGGCGCAGTGACATTTTTGTGGTTGCCGGCCGCGTGGAAAGTGCATTGAAAGCTAGCGGATTCAAACCTAGTCAGCTTTCGCACAGGCGGAGTGCGAGCTAGTCTTGTGGTATTTTGGTAGGGCGGCGGCGTAGTGCGCATACGTCACCAATGCCTCACTGGCAGGTTTTCAGAGTCAGGCACATTTAGGTGCTATAAATAGTCAACAACAACCATTATTCAGTGCAACTATCTGATTCAGCACATACTGTACATTTAGATCTATATTAAAAAATATTCTGATTTATATCTGATCCGATAAGGGCATTTGGCATGTGTTTGGACAATCAAACTGACTGAATCAACACAGCTGAAACCGCATTAAATTAAATATCCAGTAAACAGTCACACATGATGAAGTTACCAAGATATTTAATTTGTCTCCCCCCTTATTTTCCTTCTTCCTTGCGCAGCTCGACCCAGACATGTCTTCGTGTCCCATCCCCGCCCTGCTGCTGTGGCAGCAAGGCTGACCAGATGGTTTATTTAACTGATCAGAAGAGTCATTTACTTTGAAAATTTGAATAAAAGAAAGTTTCATTCAGAATTACCTCTTTATCTAATGTCCTCACATCCTTAAAATTCTGTGAATATTCAATTCGGAGTCAGGCCTACATACAAATATTATAATATTCAGTTTTGTGAGCCAAATTTATTTTATATGCCAACATCTACGAAAGAAACAGCCAGGCCACGGGGCACGAGGAATCCTTTACGCACAGGTGGTTCTGATTTTAATGCCATTATTGGAATCAATGTTGTGATCTGTGCGCACCTAGGGTTTAAATATATGCAACTTGATGTGATTGCCTTTAATTGTAAAAAAAAAAAGGGTGTTTGTCTTACCAGTGGGCAGTGCTTAATTTGTGCCGGAGCAAGCCGGAGCGCGCTCTGGGACCTTTTTGATCGGATCCGGGATCTATTTCAGCCGCTCCGGCACCTGTTTGATCTGCTCCAGGACCTTCCCTGTCAATAAATAAACTGTGTTTTTATCTATGTTTTCTCTGTGTTTTATTTCTCTCTGAAGTGACGCCTGTTGGCTTATTTCTTATGTATTTTACTCAGAAATTAGGTAAAACAAGGGGAAAAGTGATTTATACCGTCACGTGGTCACAACGCAATGCGCATTGGGATGGTTTTGTTTCCGCACCGGCACCGCGCACAAATAGGTAAATGTTATACTAGGTAGGTGCAGAAATTAAGGTGAAAAAGAAAAAAACACGTTAAAAACCAGAGAAAAAAAAGCATATTTTTACGGCGCGCGCTGCAGAGGGGAACCCGGCACCTCCTGGAGGACAAATTAAGCACTGCCAGTGGGTACCTTACACACACCAAATCCATCTGTGCTTACATAAGAGAGTGTGGAGGACACCCTCTGCAGCGCTTACTGTGACACTTGTTGAAGGGCTGCCTTCTGTTGCCATCGTGTGGCATTGCTGTCTTCAGCCATTTCTTTGTCTCTTCGACTCCTGCATGAAAATTGTAATATGCCTCGCCGGTGGCGTATTTGAAGGTGAGAAGAGGAGCTGATGTGATTGGTGAAAACAGGTCTCTGCTGTGTTAAACCCACTCAACGCCTTCTCTCCTCCCTCTCTACCACTCACACTGCAGGGAGGAGCCGAGTTAGGGAGGGGGGATATTTATGCCCAGCTGCGCCGCTCACCAAAATACTAAAGTGTGCTGCGCCTGTGCCACGCCGCCGGTGAGGCACGAAAATAGAGCCCAAAATGCTTTATAGTCCGTTAAAAGAAAACAAAATCAATCTCACATGCTTCCACACAATTTCCTTATCCCACACAATAATACAACCCACAGTAAACAGTCACCTACACAGTAGGGCTGGGCGATAAACCAAAAATTTACTGTTACCAAAACATACGACAATAACCGGTGTCATTTTGCCCAAATTGGCATATTTGGTGTCAAAAAAAAAAAAAATGTTTTGGATGTGTGTAGTTAGGCTATGGCCTCATGTCCCTTTGAGATGTAACTCCACCCCATTCAGTCCATAACAAAGAGGGAAAGACAGGTGAGGAGATGGAGGATGGTTCAAAAGTTGTAGCGGCTGGAGCAGCTGGAGCAGATGAAGCAGATGAAGTTAATGTGGAAGGGGGTGAGCAGCTGTGGAGTAGTTGTCATCCATTTATCGTTATCAAGGTGAACTGCTCAATATATCATGACAATATATTGCTTTGAGGCCATATCGCCAAGCCCTACAACACAGCCTCACCCAAAGCCACACACACACACACACACCCACACACACACACACACACACACACACACACACACACACACACACACACACACACACACACACACACACACACACGAGGCAGAGTCCAGACCAGCCCCTGTGACCACAGCAGACCACTGCTCCCAGTGCTGAGGCCTCCCACAGATGAAACACTGGGGGTCCCAAAGACGATGAAAAAATATAAAAAAGTAAAAATTAAAATACAAAGAAAACACAGACCATCTTAGTGGAAATAAATACAAATAAATATGAAATAGGACGCTAACTAGAATAAATGGAGATAAAATACATAAATATTAAGCAAAAGCTAAGCTAGAAAGGTGGGTGTTGAGCCTCCTCCTAAAATCTGTTATATTTAATATCTGCACATACAAGAAATTAATGCTATGACTTTATGACAAAGTAAAGCAAATTAATATAAAATGCAGTACTATGTCTGAACAAGGGTTGGTGAATATACAGATAGGTACATTTAATAACCCACAGGCTTCTCCAACTATGATTTCACTAAGAGACTAAATCAGATCAGAGAGGTGTGCTGTTGCTTCAGGCCATCATTGAGAAGACGAGACAAAACGTGAGGACAAAAACACACATTAGATCATTTATAACTGGCTCAACTCCTGCAGAAGTGAAACAAAATGCATAATGTTCAGATTAAAAAAAAACAAAAAAAAAAAAAACAAAACACACAAATGGCACAGCAGTGTGCTCCTGATGACCCTGATTTAAATCCTGATTATTTTAAAATATGTCATGTAAGCAGACTGAATTTGGAGGTATATTACTTTCTGACTGGTAAATGTTAACTCACTACTGAAAAGTTTGAGTGTAAATATGCTTTTAGCATATAATAATTCTTGGCCAGGACACTCTTGTAAAAGATCATTTAAATCTCAGTGTGGCTGGCTTCCTTGATTAAATAAAAATAAATAAATTAGAAAAAATAACATAAAATAAAATAAATACTGTTGCCACCAACTCTAAGCAGATGGTAAGAATTTAATTCTTCAAGCAAACGCGCTGGTGAGTTAGATGTTTGTTTTTTAAGTGAGGCCCATTTGCATATAGAGGCCTAACTTGCCCTGGATTTAGGCACAAAAGCAATAAACATTTACCCTGTAAAGCAGTTTATGTTCATTTAACCCTTTGCACATTATCCGTAAATTAGAGGATGTCTTTTGGCCCATTTGCACAGGTTTAAATGGTGCAAAAGGGTCACAATTACAACCCTAAGTGTAGCCACATAGGAGTTATAAAATGCAACACAGGTATTCCTGCAGAATGTTAATCATTTTGACATATAGCACTTGATTTCTGTTTAGTTTCCTCCTAAAGTTCATTTTAATTACTTCTTAATTGCACACAAAGCATGATCATGCAGACTTCTCTGTTTTCCAAGTGGTATCAGTAGATGTGCTCTGTCTGTATTGAGAGATCTCTTCAGGTTTAACTCCCACATTAATTCATGTTGACTTTAATTCAGTCATTAACTTACTCTCTGATTAACCTATTGGCAGTCACAAACAAGCTAACAACCTTGCAAAAAGTCTTCAGTGTAGACTTTGTAGTGACATAAATAGTTTGTGATCACTCATATCTTCTATGATGCAGAATAGGCTTAAAGAGTCAGCACTGGAACCAGCGTACATTCAAAGTCACAAAAATAAAGAAGCATAAAACAGTTAGAAATTAACCTATTAAACACTGTGCTGAGTTACAGTTAAAAGGCTTTTAAAGCATCATTGTATAATTCTTTACCCCCTAAATACACAGTCTGAGCACCTTCATGGAATTAAAATCATGTCGTACAGACTCAGTGTGAGTGACAAGAATCGCATCTATGTCCTGCTTGTGTCCTAAAGGGCTGAGAAAATAAGTTTCCCATATCCAACCTGAAATCTCCTCCCACACACTCCATCATTTCTCCACCTCATCTGACCACAATAGTCTTAACACTGCTGCTCTCTTGCTGAGCTGGTGGTAGGAAGCTCATGAAGTAACACCCACCAAGGCGTCTTGAAATACCCCAAACCACCAGCAGCTCATGACAGACAGGCTGGCCATGCTGGCTGGAGACTTTCCCACAGGAAGCAAGAACTGGCTTCCAGATTGATCTGAATCATATCATATGTGCACAGTAGAGTTATTACTACATAGGTCCTTTTGCAGTAACGTATAGATCCTTAGAGCTGCACACTGTAATGTCTGGAACAGATTAAAAACAAAGAAGTTTATAAGAAATGACAAAAATCTTCACCCTCAGCAAATTTAAACCACAAATCTCTCCTTATCTCAGCAAAAAACTGTTTGACTATAAAATCAGCTCCTCTCCAGATTTAATTCTGGTAGCAACATTTAGACAAGAGAGCACTAAAACTAATGTGACACATACAAGTCTGTCAGAAAAGTGTCCACATTTTGTGCTGTTTATGGGGTAACCAACAAAGATATAATTGGAAGCATGCTGAAAAACATGCTCGCCCCCAAAAAAAACAAAAAAAAAAACAGTCAACAAGGGAAAATATCAACTAGATTTAAAGCCAGCATCACGAAACCGTGAAACAGCCTGAGCTTGAATCAAAAAGTAAGACATTAGAGACAGCAACCTGCAGCTCCCTCAGACCTAACCCTGAAACAAAAACAGCTTCTACTAAAGGCTGCATCATGTCTGTCACTTTTGGAGCTCCATTTTTAAAATACAAAACCAGTTAAAAACAAAAAAAAGGCAAGAAAATAATCCGTATTGGAAAATCACCAGCATACTTGGATTCACAGGGACAGAAACTTCACAACACACCTTTGGATTCAGTCCCCATCTGTGAAACCACTAACCCTCCATCGACCATATGTGACCTAAATTCAGCTGCCCACATCATTTCATCGGAGAGACTCACAGAAAGGTGGTTGTGGGTTTATATATATATGTCAATGTCCATTATTTACCCTGTTAAAATGTGAGTCAGTTTCCAGATTTCAACTGACTGAGGCTGTGAAAAATCAAAGCATGAGGCTTAACCTCTGAATATCAGATTCACCTTTGGCTTTCCTGAATTTCACCAACCACCAACCAAAAGTTTTCTGATAACAACAGATTAAACATAGTGTTTGTTCAGGCAGGCCACTGAGGTCAAGATCACATCTGCTGATTCTAACACTAGCTCCTATCAGGTAACAGCTCAGATAATTGCCTTCTGGATCCATTTAAACAGCTTCAACCTGCCTCCTCCTTCTCCTCCAGCCAGCTCCTCCTTTTTAAGCTGTGTGTGCTCTCACCAGTGCCATACTGTATTATCACTAATGTCTGCTCTCTTCTGCCCTGAGGGTTTTGCTGCTGCTCTCCCTGACTTGGTTTTATATATAATAGAGGGGAGGTGTGCTGTCCCTACCTTTGCAACATTAACAGAAAAAAGCATTACAAATATGACATTAAGCAGAAATCAAAAAACTGAAATACAGGTGAGGGATCAAATATCTGAAGGGGTTCTTCCACTGCAAAATCCCCCTCATTGCACATTATCCTGCTTATTTCACTGCTGCTTTCCCCATTTATCTGTAAGTTTGCACTACACATTGCTTTTTTCAAAAAAATATTTCCACAACTAAATCGATTAAAAACAGATTTAGAGCTGCCAACATGAATGCACTTGAGATGGAGGGGTGAGGTGTACATGAAAGAGCAGGGAGCTCTCAGAGCACAAAGCCACACTCCAAATTATAACTTTAATATAACAGTGACATATTAATGTCTCATTTATGTGTTTGTACCATCAATGGTCATGAAAATGACAAAACTACTACCGGATGTTTTAACAAAGAGCAAATCTTCAGTAATTCATGGTGCGTCATTTATCATGAGGACTTTAGTTTCTTGATGAGGTATGATTCAAAACAGACTGTCTTTCTTTAGTTTGAAATGGCAGATGATTTAATGTCCTGTACAGTTAATTTATCTGGATGATATCTGTGTCTGACGTCTATGTGGTTAGTTTTGTTCTGTGTCTCCCTGTCAGTCCAGCAGCTCTACATGCTGTAATGATCAGTAACCGGACAAATCATCGTTCTTGGTGCCATAAAGCTGGATCTTATCCTAATCCAGAAAACGTCTTCTTTGACAGGGACTCTAAATGGCTGTTGACGGAGTCTGACTGCAGTGGAAACATTCAAACAGACTACTTTTTGTTCATCTGAGTCACAGAGACGCATCCATCTACAGACTGTACTTCAGATTTGTGGCTCTTTTTGTGCCCCAACAAACCCAACACTGTAAACATCAATACACAGACATGGAGGAGAGCATAATGACCTTCTGTACCTCCAGCATCATCTGAGTCAGTCACTGCATTAATTGACCATATCATTTAAAGCTGCAGATGAATGTAAATACAGAGCAGCACTGACCGTCTTAACACAGTGTTGAATCATCCTTTCACTTCCTGTTGTCTTTTGCAGCTAGAATTAGCATCTCTCTGTACACTGGCACCCTGTGTCCCTATTAAGGCCCCAAACATGGACCTACTTTACATTTTCTTATTCACATCTTTCAAAGCAACCCCAGAAATGTTTTGACCCCAGAACAGTGGTAGCCCTCATTCTCACATTTCCATGTTAAGCTGCCAGAAAATTACCCAGAGATCCTTGTTCTGACTATTCTTAAACTCACACCACATCCGTGTCCCATGTTCCTCTAAGAAACACCCTGTTAACTGGCAGAGGCCCACCTCATAGAAATACCTTGGAGCTCGGTTTGTTTATGCTGAGCTGGTGCTCTCCCTCAGTTTCTCCTCCAAACCCTCTGACCTCTCTGGCTGTGTTTGTTATCAGAGCAGTAGGAGTAGGTAGACTCATGGACTTCTGGAAGATTGTGGAAACACCTGGTCACCAAATGTGATCCGACCACAGGAATGCCACCAGTACATCGTCAGAAACACACACGTTTCTGCTCACAAGGTCTCAGTCATCTGCTGGTTCTCATCTGGACAGACAACTCAAAGGGGCTTTGACCTCTCAGGTGTGTTTCTCATGTTTATCATAGCTGTCAACAGCTCAGTAGATACTGGAAATAGTTACCCCGCCTGTGGGTTTACTGGGCACAAACATGTTTTTCCAAGAGCTTAGGCTGTCCATTATAGATACCCAGCTTACAGGCTGAACAGGTTATATCGAAGAATTTGGTTCTACAATTGACTGAAAGTCGGATTGCTTTCAATGAACTTTTTAAGTTTTATAATTCTGGATAGTGTGGACATATAATAGCATAATGAGAATTTGGGATCAAGCATTACCGGGGCTTGACACAAGTTTTATCGAGTTTAAAGATTCTGTGTAGTGCTGCTTTAATTTTCACCTTCATTTCTGTCTCTCATAAGCCCCTCAGTGAATGAAAGCACTTAACTGTTTTCAACTACTTACTGCTTAGTTGTTGATGCAGCCTCAGTTTAAGAAAATATTGGGATCCAATATAAAATGACTACAAAAGTTTTGATTTGGTTTAACATTATAACAAAAAGAGATTATGATAGTTAAAAGACTATTGATGCAATGCTTTCTCTGCTTTATCATTGTATGTCTCGTTCACACACTGATGATAGAGGCTGCTATAATTGGATCCCATCAGTTTTTGACCAATCCCATTCACACAACACTAGGCACAGCCAGCCCAGGCCCCACTGTCCACATCCAGATAGTACCCTAACCCTTCTGATTGGGACACTGGCTATAAAGCAGATGGGGCAGCATCATCTTGCGTTTTATAAGCTCTTCTTTAACAACACCACACAAAAGTAAAATGTTGTCCCATTCTTGCCTGGTAGAGGATTCTAGCTGCTCAACAGTTCAGGGTTTCCTCGGTCCTGTTTCTGGGGTCATGATGTTCCAAATGTTTTCAAGAGGGGATAAGTCAGGACTGCATCAGGCCAGTTTCTTATCCAGACTCTTCTCCTACACAGCCATGCTGTTGTAATCTTTGATGTCAGAATGTGATTTGTCATTGTCTTGCTGAAATATGAACATCTTCGCTGAAAAAATCTTAGTCTGGATGGCGGCAGATGTTGCTCCTAAACCTGGAGATATTGTTCAGCATTAATGGAGCCTTAACAGATGTGAAAGATACCCATGAAATGGACTCTGACAATCCCCATACCATCAGGGATGCTGGACTTGAGCTGTTAACATCTGGGGCCTATTCTACGAAGCAGGTTCAACCTAGCGAGGTAGCCTTGGAGGTACCTCGCTCAACTTAGCGCGGTAGCCAGCGGTCACGCTAAACGGTCTTACGACACTGGTTATCAACCTCGTAAGTTGATCCAGCTTTGCTGTGGGCGCGTGCACGCATGTAAGGCGGAGCCCGCCGCATCTGACCAATCGCGAACATGGACAAGTCTGGAGCATCAGAGCAGGCCGGAGAGCGAAGGACCGTGTACTTTACAAACAAGCAGCAGGAGACGATCATGAGAAAGTATGAAGAATTCAAATCTATCATAAACCTCAAAAGCAACACCGTTGCTGCTGCAAAAGCATGGAAAGAATGCTGGCAGAAAAGTAATCTTTGATGCCACTATCACCCTGAAATAGCACTGTTCAACATGCGCTTTTAACTAAGGTGACCAGACGTCGCCGATTTCTGGGGACAGTCCCCGAATTGGATGATCTGTCCCCGGCTAAAGCTGTCCCCGAAAATGTCCCCGATTTAAGCGTTTCATGAATGAGAACAAAAATGTTGCATGTGGGCTAAAACAACGGTTATTACAGTGGGTAGGAAGCACAAGTAAGTAGTCCTGAACAACAGTTTTTACGGGGGTTATTACAAGGGGCGTGCACTGCTACTAAATAGTACTGAGACTTTGTCTGTGATCACGCAGCCCATGCAGCTCATGCCCATTCATTTCCAAGATGAATTCATTCATTTGTTCATTCCTATCATGTTTACATTTTTTTGTGTGATATGTAGGCCATATGAGCCTTTCATAAAGGTGGTCATCCGGAAAAGTAAGTGGGTCTGTGCAGTCCCTGTAAACTCTCGCGCGTCGGAGTGCTCCTCGGACAATACGAGCACCGAGGTCTACAGGATCCTCCAAGAATGGAAAAGCCATTTTCGAGAGAGCTCATTGGTCAGTGGGCAGGGTTTTTATACTCGGTGAGTTCAATCTGGAACTGCCCCAGAGCAGGTTAGCCGTTCAGCATATGTTGCCATGGAGACTCACCTCGCTAAGAAGTGAACCCGCGTCGTAGAACAGGAAACCCCGAACTTACCCTCAAAGTTACCTCGCTAAGCAGTAATCCTGCTTTGTAGAACAGGCCCCTGGTTTCTTCTTTGCATGGTTCCGTTTGGATGCAGTGATGAACTGTGTTCACAGGTTTTTCAAGTGATTTTGAGATGAACAATAGATTTCCGGTTGGGGTAACATGTGAAGGAAGCGCGTCCTCCAGCTCCTGCAGCAAGTACTCTAAAAAGTATCTATTTTCTTAAAACTTACTTCGTGTAAAATATAACCTTGTAAATATTTTACAACATGTCAAAAGCAACAAATAAAGCTAGCATCGCAGCCAACTTCAGAACAGCATTTGTCGCTTTGGAATCCAGATTCGACAAAATCCAGGAAACAGTGGCGGAGCATGGTCAATGAATGGATTCACTGGAATCCAACGCCGAGCTAAAGGACCAGCAGATCGAAGTACTGGAGGAGTGGTGTGCAGCATTTGCTGACAGTAATGCCAAGCTAAGAGCAAAGACCGCCGATCTAGAGAGCCGTAGCCGCAGAAGCAACATCAGAATAACTGGAATGCCAGAATCGATTGAAGGGCCCAGACCAACAAGTTTCTTCGCCAATCTCCTGGTTGAAGTACTCGGCGACCAGACCCTTCAGCCCCCCCCTGTGCTGGACCAGGCCCACAGAACCCTGACTGCTAAACTGCTGCCGGGCTCACGACCCAGACCGGTAATAATTCGCCTCCTCCGCTTCCAGACCAAGGAATGATTATCTGAGAGGCAAGAGACGAGGGACACTTCAGTACCAGGGGACGCTGATCCAGATCTTCAAGGATTACACGCTGGAGGTCACAGAGGAGCGAGCTAAATACCGAACTGTAATGGCTGAACTCTATAAACTAGCACTCCGACTAGTACTTCTCTTCCCTGCCCGGCTACACATCACCCTGGAGAATGGGACAAAGAAGAGACTGCCATCCCCCTAGGAAGCTACTACCAAACAAGCCCTGAGGCCTGGTTAGTAGGATAATAAGCTGAGATGCGGCTAATAGTAGCCATTGGAACATAACTTTCTAAGCTACAACCTCAGCGGTAAGACTTCTAAACAAGAAAGTGCCTCGTAAATTGAGGTAATCACCCTCTTACAAGGATGCAAGGTTTTGTAGTATGGTTGACTAGAATGGTTAAAATAACACATTAAACGTCAGCGGGTGCTAGCCTGCTGTTTACTATCTGACTGCTACATGAAGCCATTAGCTATGCTAGCTCGGCTCGTTAGCCGTTAAGCTGTGCTTACCCACATACATTGAGATGTGATAAATAGTACTGATACTCCAATATCGAGCCCCATCTTAAACTTTAAACTGTATTTCAATGGTGAATTGATGGGTTTTTTATTTAATCTAATCTAAACGTGGGTTTAATTTTGTTGATGTTGAATTTTATGTTATGAGCTTATCCAGGTCAGATTGTGTATTTTTTGTACAAGTGGTTCTTTTTACTTTCTGCTGCTTGCCTCTTGCAAGGCAAGTAGATGCCATCACTTTACTACTGTGCACTAATCCATGTTTTTTTAGGGTTACCTTATGGTAACACTGGGGCATTGGGTTACAGGGCTAGGGTTAGGGTTATGGGGTTAGGGTTAAAATCATTGTCCAGGACCTTCTTAGGAGCACGTTTCAGACCTTTTGGAGTCAGTTAGAACATAAAAAAGGATAAATGTCAGTTTTTTTTTTTTTAGCTGTTAGGGCTTCCTTCCGGTGGGCTAAATGCTGCCATTAAACGCACAAAAATTATGACACACATCAAAAATTTAAATGCAGACATAATGTTTCTGCAAGAAACACACTTATGCAACCTTGATCATAGAAAATTAAGTAGACCTTGAATTGACCAAATTTTTCATTCACAATTCAATCTCAAAACCGGAGGTACAGCTATTCTAATTCGAAAAAATGTTCACTTCACTATAGAGAAGACAATATTGGACCCAAATGGTTGATATGTTACTGTCGTTGGTATACTATATGGAAAGCGTACAATCCTAGTGTCGGTTTATGCTCCTAACTGGGACAACCATAACTTTGTGAGCTCACTTTTTTCATCTATTCCCAATCTAGACTCTCACTCACTGATTATGGGAGGGGATTTGAACTGTGTAATTGATTCAGCTTTAGATAGGACTAACCCGCGATCAGCTACAGTTATGAAAATGTCCCAGGCCTTGTCCACTCTCATTGAAGAATATGGATTTGTGGACCCCTGGAGATTTTCGCACCCCCTTGTAAAACAGTATTCATTCTTTTGTCATTCATATCATTCATTCTCGTGTATAGATTACTTTCTGTTAGATAAAAAACTCATCCCAGCAATTATTTCAACTCAGTACCTTCACATGACAGTATCAGAATATGCCACACTAGTTTTAGACCTCCGCTTTAATATAAAGCCAAAGGGGTTTAGATGTTGGAGACTGAATCCACTTTTACTTTCAGACTCTAGTTTTTGTAAATACATTTCTGAAGCGATTACTTTCTTCTGTGAGACTAACAATGGTGAAACCTCCCCGGCTATATTTTGGGAAGCTCTCAAGGCATATATCAGGAGTAGGATTACTGCCGTCACGTCGCATGCGAACAAACAATACAGGTTACAACAGAACTAGAAGAAGCTATTGCAAACCTAGATAACTCTCTTTCATCCTCAAACTCACCAGATCTTTATAAAGAGAGACTAAAACTTAAAACAGATCTCAATCTCCATCTTGCGTCTGAAAGTGAACATCTTCTCCTACGCTTGTGAGGACTGGTTTATGAACATGGGGACAAGGCTGGACACCTTCTGACTCACCAGCTAAAGGCAAAAATGGCATCAAATCAAATTACCCAGATAACGGATGAATCAGGCACAATAACATCTGACCCAGACAAAACAAATTACACCTTTAACTCTTTCTTCTCTCAACTTTTTACCTCAGAATGTCTTAACAATGAAGATCAGTTAAATAACTTATTTCAAAAACTAGACCTACGTAAGGTATCATTTGAAGATAACCAAAGACTCCATAAACCCTTTACGCTCTCTGAGATTAAAGAAGCGAAACAGTCAATGAATAGTGGTAAATCCCCAGGCCCTGATGAAGTGATTTTGAGCCCATGCAGTGATTTTCACTTCAGAGTCATATTTGTTTTAATGCAGTGCTGCCTGAGGGCCTGAAGATCAGGACCATACAGTTCTGGTTTTGGTCCTTGTCTTCTTAAGTACAGAGATGAACATTATTCTGAAACTGTTCAACTGTTAGCTCACTCAGTCTCTCACAGAGTGGTGAACCTCTTCCCATCCTTCCTTCTGAGAGACTCAGCCACTCTGAATGTTCTTTTTATACCCAGTCTTTTTCCTAACCTGTTGGAAATTCACCTCATTAGTTTGGAGATGTTGCTCCAGTTTTTTTTGTTTTTTTTAATTATCACACAACTTTTTACCTGGTTTTGTTGTTCCTCTATCAACTTTTTTTGAAATATGCTGCTGGCATCCAATTTAAAATGAGAAAAAAAAATTGAAGACACGACAAAAAATTCAATTTTAACAATTGTTTTTGCACTGTTTTCAAATATATGTAGGCTTAAGTGATTTGCATAACATTAAAATGTTTTTATCCAACCTGTTTCACACATGTGTTAATGGGGAAATTCAGTCTGGTCAAATGCAGAAAATGCAAAAATGGCAAAACATCCACAATAACAATCTTCCACTCACTCTCATAGTTCAATTTAAAGTTCCAGTTTCAACAGCCAGCTGTGCCATTCATGTCATAAATGCAGTTTCCATCCAAAGTGTCACTGTGGGCCTTTTTATTAATATCTCTGAAACCACAATGGCCTGGTGCTTCCTTGGATTAAAATAACGCTCCACATCCTTGACCACAAAAGGATGGGAGCCAGACACGAGCCAGCTGCCCACTGGACAGTGGCTGCAGACAAACTTTACCTTCCTCAGAACAAACATCTGTTGTTCCATTTCTGCTGAGCCTCAGTGGTCTCTGTATGCTCTACTTCTGGGAGGGAAACTCCTAGACAGGGCCAATGTCAACAGTCCTCAGCAGGGACTGCATGTCTGCTTAGGCCCAGACTTGGCTGCTGACACCCTTAAAGTCACAGCCTGTAGGAATGCTCCCATGGAAAATGTGGTGAGCAGCATCTTGTGTTGTTGAGCTCTGATGGCACGAATTGTGTTGAGGTTGTTGTAGGAAGAACATTTTGTGATGCACTTAACTTTTCAACAAACCAATGTCAAAACAAAGTCTTTCGTGCACATCTTGGATGAAAAATGAAGCTTAACCTTTCTTCACATCTGTTTTGATTGATGAATGCTTGGTGTATCTACAAAAAAAAGAAACAAAAACACACCACAGCTCAGGATGAAATAGATAAATACAATCCTGAAGAGATGCAAATCCTAATTAGCATCAACTTTAGAGGCACCTGCAGGGATAACTCTAGTGTTGTGTCGTTTCTGACCGTTTCGTTCAAATGAACGAAACTGCTAAGTGAATGACATGAACTGAATCACTCCAAGACCTGATTTATTCCTTTCTCAGTTCAGTTGAGCTCAGCCACGGTGTGGCATGCCGGTCGGGAGTGGAACTGCCGCCTGTGACTCTTTGGCGAATGACATACAGCCAGCGAGTGAGCGAGCAGCCGAGTGGGCGGGCGGGCAGGCGGAGTCTCAGAACAGTTTCAGTGATTCACTCACAGCGAATAAACGATATGTATCAGTCAGTGAACGAAACTTCAGTGAACTACATGTTTCAGTCGGTGAACGACATGTTTCAGTCAGTGAATGAAATGTCAGTGAACTACGTTTCAGTCAGTGAATGAAATTTATCAGTCAGTCTGTGAACGACATGGTGAACGAAACAAATGACTTCCGAATGACTTTATTCAGGTAGAGGAGGGAGAGGGTGTAGTGTTGTTCACTTACTGCCGAGCACCGGTTCGTTCACTGAGGCTTAGATAAAACAGGTCATTATAGTGCCTTTACATTAATACACGTGCATACACTTTCCTGCAAGCGGATTTAAAGCAATATGCTATTTGATATCTTTAAAAGTAGCAGAATCCCTGCTACAGCTGCGATGTTTATTTATTTTTAATCTCTCTACTTTTCCACGATCTAAAAGAACGACGACACACACTCGTTTAGAGGGTGTGCTGCTGTGTTGTTTCCGCTAACGGCGACACACAGAGGGGTGAGTTTTTCAAGGCATGGGAGTGATTCTTCCTTCAGGACTTTGCGAATGAATGACACATGTCACCCAGTGAACAATGCTGTGACTTCAGCAGCAGGGGAGGGGAGAGGCTCATTTAATGAACAAACTTGCCGCTGTGTCACTCACTGGTGTACTGCACCGGCAGGGGCTCCGAAGCACTGTCTGATTCAGTGAACGAATCTTTAGAACGAATCATTTTAATGAACGGATTCTAAAGATTCAGTTCAGTCAAAAGAACTGTCCTTTCAGGACTCTGGTTGCAGGTGTAAAGAGTCTTCGGGCTCTAATTTCGTGCCTTGCGGGAGACGTGCTGCAGGCGCGGCATTAGTCAGGTCCGCTGCGCCGACAAGGCGTTCCCAAGCACAATTTGGTATTTTGGTGAGCGGCGCAGCCTGGCGTAAGTATCCCCCTCCCTAACTCAGCTTCTCCCAGCGGCATAAGTCGTAGCGAGGGAGGAGAGAGGGCATGGAGTGGGTTTAACACAGCCGAGACCTGTATTGACCAATAACATCAGCTCCTCTCCTTGCCTTTAAATCCGCCACTTGCGAGGCGTATTACAATTGTCATGACGTAGTCAAAGAGATCAAGAGATGTCTGAAGACAGTAAGGCCACACGATGGCGACAGAAGGCAGCTCCTCAACAAGTGTCGCAGTAAACGCTGCAGAGGACATCCTTCACACTGTCTCATATAAGCACAGATGGATTTGGTGTGTGTAAGTTTGAACCCACTAGTAAGACAAACACCCTTTTCCACAAATAAAGACACTCACATAAAGTTGTATATATTCAAACCTCACGTGACAAAGGTGGGTTGTGCACAGAGATCACATCATAAACTCCAAAAATGGCATTAGAATCTGAACTATCTGTGTGTAATGACGCATCACGCTCCGTGGCCTGGCTCTTTCTTTCATAGATGTTGGCATATAAAATAAATTTGGCTCACAAAACTGAATATTATAATATTTGTATGTATGTAAGTAAAAAACTCATCTGATCACTGAAACAAATCATCTGTTCAGCTGCCGCAGCAGCAGCTGCAGCAGGACGGGGAAAGGACACAGAGACATGTCCAGGTCGAGCTGCGTGAAAAATAAGAGGAAGAGGAAGAAAGAAAGGGAGGGAGACGATTTACATATCTTGTTCACTTCATCATGTGTGTCTATTTACTAGATATTTAATTTAATTTAATGCGGTTATAGCTGTGTTGATTCGGTCAGGTTGTGTGTCAAAACGCGTGCCACACACGCTCATCAGATCAGATATAGACCAGAATATCAATATGGATAAAAACAACTGTATTGAAAAATCTTTATGGAAAACATGATGTAGCTTTAAAAGTGTGTCTGTGGTTTGAAGAAAGTGAAGGCATTTCTGGGCAGCAGCTGCTCCATGAATTCCTCTTCCTTACACTGTTGTGTGAGCGTACCATGTGCCAGTGGTGGTACTGAAACCTCACACTCTGTCTGCTCATTATCCAACACCATCCCCGAGTCAAAGCCACAGACTCATTGCTGTGGAGAATCCCTTTTATCTCCAGACTTTTTTCCAGCCCATCATGTTTTCCCTTCTCAAATCAACAACAGGACAAGGCTTCAACCCGCTTCACTTCATCTTCAGCAAGATGACTTACATCAAATGCTGTCATAGAAAGAACTCTATCTCCTTGAAAAAAACACTTTTTGACTCTATGGTCTGAGTCATTTAAGCAAACTGGGCTTCTCTTCAGGTCAGACTCTGAATGAATCAGGTCATTTTTGAGGCAAGGAAACACTTCATGTGGCCCAAACAGTGGATACAGTCCTCTTCAGACATAGCTGTATTTTAAAATTTGATATCAACACGAAGATATGATAAAAGGCACTAATGCTCTTACTTGAAACACTGCAGCCTCTAACAGTTTCATATGTTCACGGCTCACAGCCGCCATTGCAGTCCTCTGCTGCTAGATGAAGAGGCCTTAACAGATTTCTGGGGAGAAACCTGGCATCTAATTAAATCTAAGTAAATCTAATTTTTTACTTTTGGAAACTAAAAAGGACAAACAGAAGTACCAGTGATAAGTTATAAAGGAAAGCTGCACCACTGCTGGACTCCTCCTGAAGCACCACAGGGTGGGGCTGATCTATGTTTGAGTCCATCATGTAAAAAGCAGATGTGGGCACAGTTAATACAACAACAATTAATGACAATACTATTGAAAGGTTTAAAATGAGTTGTCTTTGTCCATGATATCCTCACCTGGGGACCTTGTGGACAACTTCAACTCAAAAATACAGAGTATATTTGACAAAATTGCACCACTCAAAACTAGATATGTAGAAAAACAAAAGGCTCCCTGGAGAAATGGAGTGGACGTCAGATGCCTAAAGAGAAAGTGTTGTCAGGCAGAGCGACAGTGGAGAAAAACAAGACTTCAGGGTCACAATGACATTTATAAGGATCAACTGAATGAATACAACAAAGCAATTAAACAAGCTAGACAATCATTCTTTTCTAAAATCAATGAAAATAATAATAGTAAAGTGCTTTTTTCCACCGTTGACAGACTTGTTAACCCACCATCCACCATTCCTTCAGAAATGCTGTCCTCAGAAAAATGTGATCAATTTGCTTCTTTCTTTAAACTTGACCTAAGGACTGCACCTAATCTCAATGATTTTAAGACCTGAGGACTGCACCCAATCTTAATGATTTTAAAAGCAAACTGAAAACATAGCTTTTTAGTCTTGCTTTTAACTAAATTTTATATTAACTCTGCCTAAGTGTTTTAGCATTTATCTCTTTATAGTTTTAATAACAGGATCGTCTTTTATTGAGCTTTTTTGGTGCTCTTATTTTAGTATCTTTTACTGTTGTTTTCATTTCATTTTGTTTATTATCTCTTAAATTTCATTCTTTATTTCTTTGTTTTTAGATTTTAACATAAACCTCCAGTATTTCCTTATCTTGAGTTTTAAAATGACGTTTCCTCGGTGCGCACATTCCTGTTTCCACGAAATCACGCCCTTTTTAAGTTGATGCATTTTAATACCGTTTTTGTTGCAATTAGATCATGAGGTGGGAATGAGGGGTTGGGCTGGGGTTGATTTGGGTATTCTTTTAATCTTGGGTTGGGGTAAATTTGGGTATTCTTTGTTTCTTTTATTCCTTTTTCTGTGTCAAGCACTTTGTGCTACATGTTATGTATGAAAAGTGCTATATAGATAAAGACTGATTGATTGATTGATTGATTATTACAAAATCACTACAATTAGACTAAACATTAGTGCCCAAAAATCTACAACTGAACTTGCCCTTCCTTTCTTCAGGAACCCCACCTGTGTCATGTCTCACTTTACTGTCTCACTGTTTAGATCTGACTGAACTTGAAAATATTGATGGTCAGCTCAGGTCCTCTACCTGCTGCCTGGATCCTCTCCCAACTGCATTTTTCAAAACTGTCTTTGACTGCTTAGCACCAGAGGTTCTAGGTATCATTAACTGGTCTCTTCAGTCAGGTACATTTCCCACATAACTTAAAACAGCTGTCATCAAACCACTTCTGAAAAAGAACAATCTGGATCAAAGTGTCATTGCAAATTACAGGCCCATCTCCACCTTACCATTCCTCAGCATAATACTTGAAAAAACAGTTTATAGTCAGCTCAAAAACTATCTCGCATCAAATAGCATTTTAGATACTTATCAGTCTGGCTTTTTGTCCCCACCATAGGACAGAAACAGCACTTATTAAAGTTTTGAATGACATACACATAAACACAGACTCCAAAAAAAATTCCATTCTTGTTCTACTTGATCTGTGCAATTGACACCGTTGACCACAAAATTTTACTGGAAAGGCTTGAAAGGTGGGTTGGCTTGTCTGGCCCAGTTCTAAACTGGTTCAGAACCTATCTTTATGACAGGCCGTTTTTTTTGTCTCCATTGGTGAATTTAACTCCAGCAAAATGAACATTACATGCGGGGTACCCCAAGGGTCAATTCTGGGACCACTGCTGTTCAATCTCTACATGCTTCCACTCTCACATGTCATACGCAAACATAATCTTAGTTACCATAATTATGCAGATGATTTGCAAACTTTACATTTCACTACACCCAGATGACCTATCACCCATAATATACCTCACTCAGTGTATCAAAGATATTAATCAATGGATGTCAGAATTTTTTTTTACAACTTAAAGACAAAACTGAAATTCTCATCTTTGGTGTAGAGGCTCAGAGACAGAACATTGCAGCACATCTGAACTCTCTCTCTCTCTCTTGACAGCAAAACTGAAGCAAGGAATCTGAGTGTAATTATCGACAGCAATCTAAATTTCAGAAGTCATATCAACCACATTACAAGATCATCCTTCTATCATCTCAAAAATATCTCCAAACTAAGGGGCTTTCTGTCAAAATCAGACTTAGAAAAATAAATCCATGCATTTATAACAAGTTGACTGGATTACTGTAATGGTTTATTCACTGGACTCCCAAAATCCAGTATTCAGAGGTTACAGTTAATTCAAAATACAGCTGCACGTATTCTCACTGGTACCAAAAAAAATCAACACATCACACCCGTTCTCAAATCTTTACATTGGTTACCAGTTAGAACAAGAATCGATTTCAAAATACTACTTCTGGTTTACAAAGCACTACATGGCCTTGTACCTCATCACAGATATGTTCATCACCTACACCCCAGCAAGAACACTTTGGTCAACAGGCAGTGGCAACCTACTCATCCCTTGCACGAGATCCAAAGAAGGGGAGGCAGCTATTAGTGTTTATGCCCCTAAAAAATGTAACACCCTGCCTGACACAGTTAGACATGTCACATCAGTAGCCATCTTTAAACAGATTTTTTCTATCGAATTCTGTTGAACTGTGTGTGTGTGTGTGTGTGTGTGTGTGTGTGTGTGCATGTCTCCATGTGTGAGTGTGTGCGCATGTACAAGTTTAAGTGTACATGCAGTGAAGTTGTCTACTTGCACTTACACTCTATAATTGATTTATAATTGATTTTTATATAACTGTTCTTTTTAACTATGTATACCTGTTGTAAAGCACATTGAGTCTGCCTTGTGCATGAAATGTGCTTTATAAATAAAGTTGAATTGGATTGAATTGAACATTGAACCAATAGCCTCCATTAAAGACCCACTCCGATGAAAATCATGTTTTTCTTGTTGTCATATGGCATTTTTCTGATGCTATAGGATATATCATCAGAAAAATAAGTGTAAAATTGCATTTCTGAGTATTTCTTCATTCAAATCACTGTAAATCTCTCAGAGACCCAAAAAGCAGATTCAGACACAGTGGGATTTTCTATGTCAGAAGTCCAAGCTCTGCCCCTGGTGCCCTGCTCTGCAAGCCAGACTCTGAGAAATAGAGAGGACGATCGCAGAATAAGTGTGTGCGTTAGCGGATTGCAGTGTTCGTAATAAGGCTAACTATGATATTAACTTTCATCATGTTCCTAAAGACATAAGTGTTTGAGAGCTCCTATGTTACCTGCCACTTCTACTACACCGGCAATGTTAGACAGCAAGTTAGCATGAAGAGGAGTGTGCGGAGCAGCGCTGTCTCCGCCCACAACTCAGAGACGAATTGCTAATGAGCTACTGGAGCTCTGCAGAGGAAAAGCCCTTGAAAATGACACAAGTAATGTGATTTTGGCTACAAAGCTCACAATTACAATTCAACAACCACTGATAACTCTTTAATTAGTTAGAAAATAGAAAAGATAATCTTTGTCTGAACAGCTGGGAGTGGGAGCTACTAACCCTTAATGAAAATTAACATGAAGATGGCTGAGATGGAGGTGTTACTGTAGGACTGGGGGATTTGGCAAAAAAAAAAGATCACTATATATTTTGTCATATTGTCTGATCTCGATTATTCTCACAATTTTTTTTTTACACTGCAAGTTTTAAAGCATCTGTACTAAAAACTAAAGAAACTAGAGATTAGTTCAACATTTTATTAACATACAAAGTAACTAACAAAGCAAACTAAATAAGATAAACTTAGAAAAATATAAAAAAACATTTTAAACAGTACAACAAATGTAGATAAATACTTAATAATACAGTGAACTAGTTTACGATCCTGATTGTTTTTGCAGGTATGCCAGACCCACAATAAACAAACAGCCCCCTCAGGGATAATAAAGACACCTTTAAATGTAAACATTTGATGATGTAAACATAGATGATACAATTGATTGCTGCTTTGGTGTGGTGGCTGCACCGCTAGTTGTGGCTAAACTGGGAATGCTGCAGGCTGTGCACACTATGCTCACGTTTTCATGCTTTCTGCATAATCATAACGATGCGCTTGAACCGAGATGTTGCTGCAAGTCTGGTCTCTCTGTATTATCTGTAATTTTTGTAATTTATACTAGATTTTTTTCATATTTTTGTTGTAATTTTGTTGGCTGCTCATGGATACTTCTGCTGGGCGAAGAGTTTACTCAAGAGAAGAGCTCCTTTCGTTGAGGAAAAGCAACTGGACAACAACATACAGTTCCAGAGGACATCAGGAGGTGTTATTGTGGTTGCCGCGCTGGTGCAAAGGTGAAGGCAAAGCTGAATGCTAGGAGGTGGCGATATGAACCCTTTCTTCCATCAATCATCATGGGAAACGTCAACTCTCTGCCCAAAAAAAGCGATGAGCTGGAGATCTTGGTGAAGACTGAGAAAGCATACTGTGAGTGCAGCTTCCTGTGTTTTACTGAAACCTGGTTGAATCAAAACAACTCGGACTCCAGTGTGGATCTACCTGGCTTCACTCTCATAAGGTCTGACAGTGATGCTCAAGCTAGTGGCAAGAAGAAAGGAGGAGGTCTGGCTTTATTTGTCAACCAGAGATGGTGTAACCCTTCACACATAACTGTCAAGGAGAAGTTGTGTTGTCCAGGTATTGAACTGTTGTTCATTTCAAGCCTGGTAACACACTAAGGCAGAAGCTAGTCCATCCCAAGGACAAAACACTGAGACATAAACAGAGTAATGTGGTGTATGCCGTCCAGTGCAGCGAGGAATGCTCAGACCTGTACATTGGGGACACTAAACAACCGCTTCACAAGCACATGGCTCAACACAGGAGAGCCACTTCCTCAGGTCAGGACTCAGCTGTCCACCTTCACTTAAAGGACACGGGTCACTCCTTCGAGGACAGCAATGTACAGGTGTTGGCTAGAGAAGACAGATGATTTGAAAGAGGAGTTAAAGAAGCCATCTTTACCAGACTGGAGAAACCTTCTCTGAACAGAGGGGGTGGACTCAGGCACAATCTCTCCGGCACTTACAATGCAGTTCTCAGCTCTCTCCCCAGGAAGATCCACAAACATTCACACCTGGGACCACATGACCCAGGTGGCATAAGTCATGTGGTCACATGACAGGGGTCGTTAACGACCCTTTCAGGCTAACGACCCTGGGGGGGGGAACTACCAGAGATGGGTTTCTACGACCCATTCTTTCCAACTCCTCCCAGTCATTGTCTGTCCCCTTCTCCAGTAAGATAAATATCTGCTCCTCACACTAGCAATATTTAGAACTGATCAAACTTCTTGGATAAGAGGCAAAATGTGTTCTCAACTCTACACAGTCCAGTTGCCTGTTTATGGAGTCTTTAAAAGATCCATCACAGAGAAGACTTGAAATTTGCATCCTCCTTATGGATTAAACTTTGAAATCAAACCAAGACTGAGCTTCAGGACAAAGATATAAAAACATTTAACACTGATCTTGGGCCTCACCTCTGAGCTCGGTGGCGGCGGTGCAGTTTGAAGATGCCTTCCAGCGGTCCTGGTGCTTTTTAAACTCCTGCACTCGGCACATGTAAAGCCCCCGGTCCCCCTCTGACACGTTTAAGATGAGCAGGTCAAAGATTTTCCCCTGCTTCACCACTGTCAGTTTCATTTTGGGCCATGGAAAACTCTTGGTGTAGTTGCCATAGAAACGAGCCTTTCTCATGTTCACACGGGCAATGAGGAGTTCGTCCTCTGGCCGGTCTGTCCCCGCAGGAAGGAAAGTCCATTTCACCACAGGCAGAGCAGCGTTCCGGCGCCGCTGAGACACCATACAGGACAAGGTGATGTTTTGACCCTCCTGGGCCACCGTGAAGGGAGATGGGGTGATGGTGACGTTGATGGCAAAACACAAATCTCCAAAAAGAAAGAAAAAGCCAATGAAGTATCATTTTATGCATCAGTAAAACATATCAAGATGTTTGGATGTTATATTTTCTGTTGATCTTTATCATTATGGGTGTAACCCATCCAAGTACTTTGCCCTGAAGTTGTGTCCCCACCCACCATGGTGAAATTAGTTACTCTCAATTGACAGGCAGGAAATGGAAACTACAGGTTCTTAAGCATTATCACAGCTTAAAGTAAAAAAACTGTTTTTTTACTCTATCAAGAGTCCAAATCTAACAGGCAGTAAGGTGTCATGAAAAATTTAATCTCTGTCAGAGAGCAGAAACAGACTAATTATCAAATTTATGTGTGTACAACCATATATGTTACAGAAATGTCAGACAAATGCAGGTAATGTCTTAATGACACCATGTGACTGTGAGGACATGGACAATCCTCCTCATGTTGTGACTACATATTAGCTTTGTTTAGACTGAGTGAAGATGTCTGTCTAAGCACACACTGTCTTCTTTTCATCGTTGTGTCCATGAAACACTGCACTGTAAAAACAAAATCCAAATAAATGGAGTACTGAAACTAAAGTGGACAATTTACAAGTAGGAGAAAGTGGGGTGATCTGAGCCTGTTTCTAAGTCAGGGTTTGACTGTCATGTCGTTAACTACAACTGACACTTATTTTAGGGTGCAGTTAATCTCTGAGAATAATCAATTCAGTTCTCAAATCAATTTAAAATAGGTTTATAGCTATTTTTGATCATCATAGCCTTTTGAGGGATAAGTTGAGCCATATGGAACCACATTACTACACTTGTGACATAGCAAAACTGAACATTTAAAATTTATATCCTGCACCACTAAAGACAGACAAAATCAGGATATATTTTAGGATTATTCAGAGTTTAAACTATAGCTTTCAATACAAATGTCCATTCCCAAACTATACAAAATCAAACAACAAAGGTCATTTCTATAATTTGCACTAAAGGAGTATTTTGTATGATCATGTTTACCTGCTTCAGACACAGGTGGTAATAGTAACCACTCACATTTAGTTGAGATTAAATAGACAATCAGGTGTCCACAGCTCTTCATGAGTTCATGAACAAAAGCAGTCAAACATCACATCTTTTAAATGACCACGCCCCCTTTTAGGGTGAAAGCAGTCTACCCAAAGTGAATATGAATGGAAATTCCTGGGAGTTTGGTAACTTAATTGCATAAAACAAGAAAACGTCATCATATTTTCATTTTTAGGATCCTAGTTGTAATGGTGTGCAAGGTAAACAGAAAAAACATGACTTTTTGACGAGTGAACAGCAATGTCACATAAAAAGCACTAACTAATGATGTCATCGTTTTCATCTAAGCTTCTGGCAAAGCTGAACGACCTGCCTCCAACAGCATGTGAGGTGACACTCACAGTGGAGTGGGGTCAGTGTTGCCAGTTCCTCAGTATAGAAAGTTGTTAGTGGCTGTCCTAGAAGTTGCTAGAAGTTGCTAGAAGTTGCTAGAAGTTGCTAGATGACATAATTTCAAATTTGCATAATTTCTAGTATAAGAATGATTTGTCTTCAATACACAAAATCTTACATTTAAATCTTGGTCCGTCCAAGGAATCGACAGCGATAGGTTTACACATGCACGATTCGTTTGCTGATTCGCTCTGGTTATTTGTTACCAGTCTATTGTGACTAAACTTCCCCACAGGCTCAATTCACTCAGCTGTCTCATACCAGTTTATCATTGATAAAGTTTTAAGAGGTTTTCAGTTTCCACTGGATCAAGTATTGGAGTCTGAATTGATTTTTCTCTGGTTTGTTCCTTCCTAAAAAATGTGAGGATCAGTACTTTTTCTCTTGGGATTTCTATTGTTCTGATGTGAAACTCACCAAGTTCATTAAAGACAGTTCAGTCACTTTTGGTTTGATGTTGCATTTTTTAGTCACATTTTCTTTCTAGATAAACTGTTTCGTAAGTTTCAAAAGTTGTGTTGTACTGTCACCTCTTCATGTGACACACTGCTTCATCAATACTGCTTCATTTTTCTGTAATGTCAGCAGACTCTTTTAGACCTGAACCATGAGTCAGTTCTCTCCACAGCAGTCATCAGCAGAGGAGAAAGGGAGCTGGCTAATGTTAGTTTTTGATTGTTAACTTGAATACATGAATACATAAATGAATAAATAAAGACCTGAACAACAGTCCAGGTTCCAGACATGCTCGAATAACATTTACAGAGTATCTAAAGTATCAAGTGTTGTACAAAACCCAATTCCATTGAGGTTGGGAAATTGTGATAAACATAAATAAAGACAGAACACAATGATTTGCAAATCCTTTTCAACCTATATTCAGTTGAATACACTACAAAGACGAGATATTTAATGTTCAAAACCATAAACTTTATTTTTTTTTGCAAATAATTAACTCAGACTTTCATGGCTGCAACACGTGACAAAGTTGGGACAGGGGCATATTTACCACTATTTTACATCACCTTTCCTTTTAACAACACTCAATAAGTGTTTGAGAACTGAGGAGACTAATTGTTGAAGCTTTGAAGGTGGAATTCTTTCCCATTCTTGCTTGATGTACAGCTTCAGTTGTTCAACAGTCCAGGGTCTCCATTGTCTTATTTTACACTTCATAATGCGCCACACATTTTCAATGGGAGACAGGTCTGGACTGCAGGCAGGCCTGTCGAATACCTGCACTCTTACTACGAAGCCACACTGTTGTAACACATGCAGAATGTGGCTTGGCATTGTCTTGCTGAAATAAGCAGGGGTGTACATGAAAAAGACATTGCTGGGATGGCAGAATATGTTGCTCCAAAACCTGTATGCACCTTTCAGCATTAATGTTGCCTTCACAGATGTGTAAGTTACCCATGCCTTGGGCACTGATGCACCCCCATACCATCACAGATACTGGCTTTTGAACTTTGCGTCGGTAACAGTTCGGATAGTTCTTTTCCTCTTTGGCGCGGAGGACACAACGTCCACTATTTCCAAAAACAACTTGAAATGTGGACTCGTGAGACCACAGAACATTTTTCAACTTTGCATCAGTCCATCTTAGTCGAGCTTGGGCACAGATAAGCTGGCAGCGTTTCTGGATGTTGTTGATAAATGGCTTTCACTTTGCATAATAGAGTTTTAACTTGCACTTACAGATGTAGTGATGAACTGTATTTACTGACAGTGGTTTTCTGAAGTGTTCCTGAGACCATGTGGTGATATCCTTTACACATTGATGTTGGTTTTTGATACAGTGCCGCCTGAGGGATCAAAGGTCATGGGCATTCAATTTTGGTTTCCGGCCGTGCCACTAACATGCAGTGATTTCTCCAGATTCTCTGAACCTTTTGATGATATTATGGACTGTAGATGTTGAAACCCCTAAATTCCTTGCAATTGTACTTTGAGAAACGTTGTGTTTAAACTGTGAGATGATTTGCTCATGTAGTTGTTCACAAAGTGGTGAACCTCGCCCCATCCTTGCTTGTGAATGACTGAGAATTTTTGGGGAAGCTGTTTTTATACCCAATCATGGCACACACCTGTTCCCAATTAGCCTGTGGGATGTTCCAAATAGGTGTTTTATGAGCATTCCTCAAATTTCTCAGTATTTTTTGCCACCTCAACTTCTTTGTCACATGTTGCAGCCATGAAATTCTGAGTAAATTATTATTTGCAAAAAAAAAAAAAAGTTTATGTGTTTGAACATTAGATATCTTGTCTTTGTAGTGTATTCAAATTGAATATAGGTTGAAAAGGATTTGCAAATCATTGTATTTTGTTTTTATTTACGTTTATCACAATTTTCCAACTTCAATGGAATTGGGTTTTGTAGATTTGGGTCTCAACTAACAGACCTGTATGAAGTCACACACAATACACATAACACATACAGGTCACAGAGCTCAGTATACCTACTAAAAAGATGTCTGAGCTTCTAACCCTGTCTCTAAAGCTGTGCCCAGACACCCAGAAGATGCTCATTTCAGCTGCTTGTATCAATGATCCAATTTTTTCAGTTACTACCGAGAGCTCATGGCCACAGATGAGCGCTGGAACCATAGACTGTATATACTATGGACAACTTGGTTCTGCCTCCTGCCAGTATACGGATTTGAAGCCAAAAAGCTCTCAGTATTTCCATCATTTTTCTTCTTTTCCTGAAACCAGCATTGCACAGTAGTGTTGTGCCCATTCGACAGGAGAGTCGCCAAGAGTTGCTGTGATGACGCTCGGCTCAAACAGCGTATGCCCCAAGTGAGCAACGCAATCCCTGAACGCCAATAGGCTGTATCTGGTGTCAATCATAGAAAACATGAACCCTCTTATAACTTTTAAAAATGGAGCTTCACAGACAAAAGAGGACTTGAGCACAAACCAGTCTTACTGTAACTACATGTCAACACCACAAGCGGGGGGGAGAAAAAATTATGTTCTGTGTAATACATTTCTAAAGTTTGTCCATAGCCCCATAAGCTTTGCTGGCAGAAGCAGGATTTATGACCTATAATGCAGCCTGTTACCAGAGGGTGCTGTTCTCAGAGTGGCTTCACCCAGCAAGGAGGCAGACACTGTCCATTCTATATACAATCTATGGCTGGAACATTGATTGACTGGTAAATTCAATCTTTGCCTCAGCTCCCTCTTCATAATGACAATGCCCACAGTACAGCTGACGCTGCATCAATCCCCCCCATCAATCACACAGTCACCCTCCCTTATGAGCAAGACCCTCAAGTGCCTGAACTCCCTCACTTGGGCTAAAGTACACCATTTTCTAACATAGAACAATGACCCCTGACATGGAGGTGTTTACTCTCCCTATCAAGAAGAGCCACCTCACCAAAGTACCAGGGCACCTTCCTGGAGCCAAACCTGGGGGTCAGTACTGGATGGTGAGTATCTAGTGACTGGACTCTCCTCCATGGGACCCAATCAGACTCAATCTAGAACAAAAAAGGTAAAAAAACAAACAAAAAAAACCCACTAGTAGCATGGATTGGTTCTTGGAACAAAGGGACCCTGCTGTTTTATAAATAAAGATTTTGTTTTTGCAGCCAGATTGACAAAATTGGTCTATATTTTGACCTTTTTTAGGGCCTTTATATTCTCAGCAGAAGGAAAAGGCAATACTAACATTGAAAGTGTTTGACCTGCAGACTTTTAATCCTCTATAGACTGGAAAACTTGAGGAAAATTGGTTGTTTTCTACCTGAAGTCAGAAGTTTATCACTTCCACGAGGGAATATTTCTGAGAGGTCTAAAGTTCAACTTTACCTGAAAAGTTGAACTTGAGACTGACAGTTTTCTGGTTCGATACCTGCCTGAGTGCCTGACTGGACTGGAGTCTTTCTAAGCCCAGCTAAAACTACAACAGCAAAAACTGGAGCACTGTGTCAGCCCTGAAGCCAAACACAGAGCATTGTTTGTTAGCTCCGTGTTTGCCTGTATGCTGTTATACATAAAGAGAATATTGAGAAACAAACTCTGTTACTGCTGCATCACGCTTAAACACACAACTGTTCTTTTAGCATTGGGCAATTTTTATAGTCCACACTTTTCACGACATGCAGGCATTTTTCTGTCACACAATTCAAATGCCTGAAGCTCTACCACATCATTAAATCAGAGCCATATCTGCAGTTTGGTCTTTCATTAAGTTGGAGAGACAGGAGCAAAGACAATGGAGCTTAAAATGTTGTTTTAAAGAGCTCTCAAACTGTAGAGAATCAAATCATCTCAAGTTCAAGCAGAAGCAAATGTTCAAACTTTCTCATCAGTCACAGAAAAGTCACCATTTCTCATCTCAGATTTCTCTTTTATTTTTGTGGGTCCCCATTCTTTTCTATCCATCTCTGATTTTCCTGACAACATCCTGTAGTCTGACTTTGAGCAACTTTTATTCAAGCAAAACCAGGTCAGCTGGTTAAGATAACCCCGCTGACTTATTCTGTCACCCAAATGTCTCTTTTTCAAAAGTTTTCTGTAAAATTGAAGCTGGAAACATTCTGTCCCTGCCACGTCCTCTTTAGCATGGAGTGATGTACACTTTTCCTACCTCCAAGCAGCACCCGAGTCAGAAGAGCAAAGACCACAGAGGAGATCTTCATTTTCCACTGCTGCAGCCTCCAGAAACTCTGTGTTAAATGCTGCAGAAGAAAAGAAACCCCGGTTTTCCCTCCCACTCTTCTTCCTCTTCCCTTTTTTTCCAGTTTAAGAGTGTAATCTGAAACATGGGCCACTCTGTTTCTGCTCAGATCCTCCCTTTGCCCCTCCCCCCTCCTGTCACACTCAGTAAAAACACATTTGGCAGACTCGCATGCACACACACAAACATATGCACATGCATGCTGAGCAGACAGAAACAGGCAGGTGAGCATGTATGAGCAGACACACACACACACACACACACACACACACACACACACACACACACACACACACACACACACACACACACATGCACATTTCTGCTTTTGGAGAGTGAATGGGAAGTGTAATTTCCTGTACAGGATGGAAGGATGTGTTGTTAAGATTGACGCCGAGGCAAATCACACTTCCAGCTGTGGAGGACAGCTGGCACAGACCAGAGTCAAGGCTTTTTCTGGAGCACACACTCGGTTTGAAAAGAGGGGACGGGGGTTCAGTCTGTTTTTAGTGGATACATTTCTGTGGCCAGTTTTTTCAAAAGTTTTTTTGTTGTTAAAGTTAATGAGTCTCTCTTGTTTTGGGTAATTCATAGGTCTGGTAGGTCTTTGTGGGTGACCGTGTCTTTCTCCCTTCATTTCTCCTCTCATGTAACTGGATCCCACAGTAAATCTTTGTGCAGCAGTCTCTCAGCTTAGGGCTCCAGAGACAGTTTACTGGCTTTTATCAAACCTCAGAGAGGACCTCTGCAAAGATCTGGGACGTATCTGATTTATAGATATAAGGGGGCTGCCTGTATGGCCCAGTAAGTGTTTTCAGTCTGGAGACGGATTGACAAACATGGCTGTCCCTCTGATAAAGAGGCTCACCAAAGCCTTTAAAAGTCTGCAGTCAGTGTAAAATGAACTAACCAAAGCTCTAAACTCATGTCTCTGCATATTTCTTGTTTGTAATCAGTTCTGTTGACAGGGTATTCTCAAATACTGAGAAAGCAATAAATAAATTAATAAATTAAGTATTGAGGAGGTCTATGGAGTTAATTACATTTTTATGAAGGGACAAGTGTCAGTCCTTTTCAATATTTCTTCTGTCTTAATTATATATCCACAATTTTAAAAAGTCAGAACGCTGTTTAACATGCTGATAAAACAGATTTTTCTGGTTTGTATACCCTTAATTAAATTAGTGTAAAACTGAAACATATTACTGTTTCAAGAAAATAAATCCTTGTTTCGCATTTGATGCAGCAGCATGTTTCTAATTAGCACTTCCAAAAACATTTTCCTCATTGTGTGCTCTTAGCTCTTCTTTCACCAACTCTCTGTAGACCTTAGAGAACCCAGCAGACCAGGTTCGAGAGTCTGAACGTGAAATGTTGTCCCATTCTTGACTGATACAGGATTTCAGCCACTCAACAGTTCAGGGTCTCCTTTGTCCTGTTTTTGGTGTCATGATGCTCCAAATCATTTCAGTGGGGGGGATGTCAGGACTGCAAACAGGCCAGTTTAGCAGCAGCCTATACACCTTTGGACTCTGATGATCCCCATACCATCAGGGATTCTGGCTTTGCACTGGGAGCTGAGAACAGGCCGGCTGTAGGAACTGTAAAGTTAAGAGTTGCAGCCAGTAAATAGGGGATGTTTGAGCTGAGTCAGTCTTTTAACGGTTGCCTGTCCAGTGTTCTTTGATGATTTTCGTGAGGAGAAAAGTGCAGCAGAGGTTGACGGGCTTTACAGTAAACAGTGAGACTACATCTGTTAGTTATTATTCTGTGTTAGCATATAGGGTTACAGGGATAGTGGAGAACCTTTTCATGGGTTCTTGTTTCTCCAGCTCTTGAGCTGGAGGAGGTAATCTCACAAAACCTGGTTGGAGATTCAGAAAACAAATCACATATAATTCATTTTAGAGAAGAGGACACTCCAAAAAGTAAGAGGATGCTCTTGTTTTTAAGGCAACTGATTGTAATATACATCTGTGATGCGTATATGACTTACAAAGCTGGAGTTAAACATTTTTGTCTAGTTCAGCTGAAAGATCACTGGTTGTTTTTGTCTATCAGCTTCAAATATGTAAATATCCTATGTAGCCTATGTCAGTTACACATAACTCCATGACTCATGTGCATGGGCATGGAAGTGGGGGGAAGAGTCACCCTGACTGCCCAGGGCCCGAGCAGGGAAGGGGCCAAGGAAAATCCTTGCCCACTGGCATGGACAGGGGCCCACTGACATTAAGAGTGTACAGGGCCCAGAATTTGGTGCTACACCCCTGTCTGTGTGTGAAGGAGATTTTTTTTTTTTTACCCAAAGATGTCAGCAACAAAACATGGCTGACCCTCATCAGTCAGCTGTGTTTATCATAATGTCATGACAGACACACAAATACAACAAGAGATGGTAGAGATGTTTCTCTCCCAAAAACCCTCCTCTTGAATTTATTTGTGTGAGCCTATTTGGCACCCCTGTGCATGTGTGTACAGAAAGATTTGAAGTCAGAATGGCCAGAGGGAAGGAAAGTGATGAAACAGGATGCTGAAAGTGGACTACCAGTTAACAAGCACTGGACATGAACAGAAGCACAGTTGCCTCTGCTACCATACGTGGTCGTCTTAGGTTGTCTCAGTGGACCTATTTTGTCTCAATACAATCAACAAAATGCATAAGCAAGAAGCAAACATGAAGCTTTTTTTAACATCTGTTCTCCATCTGCTGAGGTTTTGTCGACCTTGATATCACTGACATATATGATGCCCTTGATATTACTGATATCAGCGATACTAAAAATATTGTCTTCTTCCATCATGTGATCCTCAAAAGCATTTCCCTATCTTTTCCTGAACATGAAATAAAGTTACAAAGACATAAGGCAATTATAAATGATAAGATATTGTTTGCTAACCCTAATCTTAGCTCTTGTAAGTTAGCATTTGCATTTACATCCATAGTTAAGTCTCCTCCTTGAACTGTCACCTTTCCATGGTGGAGGAGTTTGTGTGCTCTAATGAACCTAGGAGCTATGCTGTCTGGGGCATTTTGGCCCTGGTAGGGTCTCCCAGTGCAGATTGGTTCTAGGTGAAGGGTCAGACTAAGAATGGTGCAGAAGACCCTCATGAAGAAGATCAAAGGGAACCAGAGTACCTGGCCTGGAGGGACACCGGGGCCCCACCCTGAAGCCAGGCCCAGGGTTGGGGCTTGTTGGCAAGCACCTGGTGGCTGGGCCTGCACCTATGGGGCCCAACTGGGCTCAGCCCGAACGAGCCACATGGGCACCACCTCCAGTGGACCCACCACCCACAGGAGGAACATGAAGGGTCCAGTGCTTGAGGGATTGGGCGACAGACCAAGGCGGGAGCCCTGGCAGTCTGATCCTCGGTTATGGAAACTGGCTTTTGGAACATGGAACGCCACCTCTCTGGTGGGGAAGGAGCAGGAGTTTGTGGAGGGGGTTGAGCGCTACCCACTAGATATAGTCAGTCTCACCTCTACACATAGCATTGGCTCTGGAACCCAAGTCCTTGAGAGGGGTTAGACACTCTTCCATGCTGGAGTTGCTCAGGGTGAGAGCGGGGTTCGGATTTTGCTCGGCCCAAGATAGATAGATAGATAGATAGATAGACTTTATTGCTCAGTAATGTGATGTGGTTGGAGTTTTAAAAATGGACTATACAGCAGACAGATGTGAGTCCCTCTCTGACAGATGTGAGTTATTAAACAGTACAATTGCTTTTGGCAGGAAAGATTTCTTGTATCTGTCCCTTCGACAACGGAGCTGCAACAGTCTGTTGGAGAAGGAGCTCCCCTGTCTGTCCAGAGTGAGGTGGAGAGGGTGGTCAGGGTTATCCATGATGGATAACAGCTTGTTCAGTGTCCTCCTCTCCACCACAGCCTCCACAGTGTCCTGTTTGCAGCCAATCACGGAGCCAGCCTTCCTGGGGCCTCATTTATAAAGCTTGCTTACGCACAAAACCTGGCTAGAAATTGCGTACGCCACTTCTTACGCAAGAGTTGGGATTTATAAAAGAAAAACTAGTGTAGGAATGTGCGCAACTTTAAGCAAACTCCACACCTTGCTTACGCACTTTTTGGAGACAATCGGAGCAAGGTGAGAATAGTCCGGGTGATGCGTTCAGCACAACGGATGACTCGATGCAGCCTTTCTGTCCTGAGAGCTGCAGCTGCCGTACCAGGCAGTGATGCTCGCAGAAAGCACAGACCCCACTGTGGCGGTGTAGATAGTTTGCCAATTTGAATTTACAAATGTGCAAAAAAACAAATTCCATTTACATGCATTTGTTTTAAGATTAATATGACTAAATCTTTTTGGTTTACGAACTTTCACCACATAAGCAGCGGTGGATAACAGAGCGTTTTTTTTTTTTTTAACACATGCACGAGTGTCACAAGTGCTTGTTTTTTCTGATCCTCACCTGTCGCCGCCACGCTCTGATGGTGCAAAGCCACTTTTTTCGTTGCCTCCACCTTTAGATCAGACCACTTCTTCTTGATTTCGGCACAGTTTTGTTTTCATCATCGTCGACGAAAACAAAACTGCACGTGTTTGCGCGCGCGTGCATGTGTGTGTGTGTGTTGGAGGAGCACAGCAGGCTGATGACAGCTGTCAGAGCGGACAGAAGCTGCTCCTATATGTTTAGCTTTTAACTGACTGAGTTTTGCAACTCTGGTCATCATTTTCGTCTTGTCCCATCAACGTAAACGCACTTTCGTCTCGTCACATTTTAGTCATCTCCGACTTATGTTTAGCTCGTCAACGTTATGTCTTCGTCGTGGAAGAAAAGGGAAATATTTCCGTCAACAAAAACAACCAGTGTTGTTCTCGTTGATGAAAACATTTCCTTTTGACGCTGGTGTTCACGAAAATATTTGACGAAATATGACGAAAACAACACTGTTTCGGCAACGCTGCACTCAGTGCCAGCCGCAATTGCCACCACGGCAATGGCGTTTTTATTGGTGATGCCACTCGAATGGCCGCCGAATAAGGTCTCCCGTCTCGCCGCCACCTCATTTACAAGAACCTCCACCTC